CTATCTTCATGCTGTGGACGTATAGTCTACCTTCATGCTTTGGACGTATCTACTTTCATGCTTGGGACGTAATGCCCGACCAGCACTTGACTTGTGACGACATTATGTCTGTTCGGGTGCCATAAAAAAAAATATAGGCCAACATGCTGAACCCTCCCTGACATGAAGCCATGATATCAACGGAGCGTTTGTTATACAAGGCCCGACACTTAATCATGTGGGGGGGGGGGGGGGTGCTGTCTGAAACCAGATTGGAAATCAGAGGGCGCGGCGACCCGACCGAATTTACAAATTGACACCAATAGCAGACGATAGCCCCGGTGGACCAGACGCCCCCCCCCCCCCCCCCCCCCCCCCACACCCCACCCCTCTGTAGTGTCATCTAGCTCCATAAGTGCTGAAACAATCAATTTAGAATTATTTTTTTAAAGACGTCCATTAAGGAGTTCCGACTGTATTGTACGCTTTTAGAAAGCTAAAATATGCAGCATAGAATTACATGTGGGGTGGTATGTATCGGAATGTTTGATTACACAGTAGCTTACATCTGTAGGAATGTTTGATTACATGGTAGCTTACATGTAAAGGAATGTTTTATTTCAGTTTAGCTTACATCTATTGGAATGTTTTATTTCAGTTTAGCTTGCATCTATTGGAATGTTTTATTTCAGTTTAGCTTACATCTATTGGAATGTTGTTTTTTTTACAGGTTAGCTTGCTTCTATAGGAACGTGTGGAAGAATATGTGTGTGTGTGTGGGGGGGGGGGGGGCGTGTTAAAGGGAGATGGGCCGTTTCTGTCGGCCTATGTTCTTTAATCATCAAAATCTATTTATAGAAATGTCTGCGCTTGTAACACAAATTTCATTTAAAGAGTTAATTATTTTGATTTAATTAACAAAAATAAGCGCATAGGTGGGGGTTAAGGGGAGGAGGGGTACAGTGATAGGTTTCATGTTTTCGTACATTTTTCTCCGGGGGGGGGGGGGGAGGTGTTCTTGAAACTTCCAGAAGATGCCTGAAAAAACAAGTACTGTGCGCTTTCAATAATGCGTTGTCTTAGACCTAAACTCGCCCGCTCTAAACCCAACCCTAACCATAATCGTTTCTTCTACATCACAACAGCCATTATCCGTATTAAGCTAAGTGCTGTCAGTTTACCAAGCATAGTATTAACTAGCGTATTCATGACCATTGAATGCGTTTGGTATAATTATGACGGCAGTATAAAAACAAACAAACAGAAGCGAGGTTAATTTCTCTTCCAGATCTGTGGCTTTAAGTGCGGGCTGATGTTAGGGCTTTGGTTGCGAGAGTATGGTATGCCGTCTGCCCTCGTTATCACGTGGTCTCACGACGGTGAAGCCTCGCACTGGTGTAGAAATGATTTAAAAATCAATAGGCACACGGGGATTAATTGCAATTCTCAGATTACGATCCGTTGTTTTATTTCTGAGGCTGAGCTTGGATTTTGAAAATGTGGAAAAATGAAATGTGTCTAGATCTACCATACATATTTTATTTTTTTTAGTGTGTTTACCTTAGATATAGATCTAGTCTAGGCCTAGCATTGAAAATTGTGACATTAGTTGGATTAAATTTTCATAAGATGTGAAAACCATAATAGTATCTTTATCTCTTTGACTGTTTTTAAAGCTGTTTTGAATGAAGGCAAGATATTGCAAGATATGACATTATTGTCGTGTTAGATCAAATGTCGGTAGACCAAATGTCGTGTTCTATCAAATGTCGTGTTATATCAAATGTCGTGTTATATCAAATGTCGTGTAAGACCAAATGTCGTCGTAGACCAAATGTCAGTAGACCTAACTCGTTAGGCAAATTGTCGTAGACGAAAACTTTGTAGACAAAAATTGTCGCGGTTTCCTATTTTCAGGGCCTATGGGGCGCGGGCTCCATGCCACTCCCCCCCCCCCCCCCCCCACTGACACCTCACTGCTGACGCCACTGCTCCTAACAATGCACTAATCTTAGCTAAAGCATCTCAAACATTCGAGTGATTTCCCTTTCTTCATCAAGCTTTGTTTGCGTCCGGATATTTTTTTAAAATTACCTCAATAATACAGTTCTTTTTACGTTTAATATGAAAACAAAGATGGGTATAACAACGGGTTGGTTGAAACGTCAGTTATTATTGTGAAACTTCTAGGAATTATGTATAGTTATTTTAAGTCGGTGCATGTATTGCCCCCTCTAATCTCGGTCGTGTGTGAAATTGTTTTCACATTATTATCAGCCCCCCCCCCTATTCCTTCATGGGAGCTCTTATTCAGAGTTTCTTTCAGGCATCTCTCAGCCCTCCTCCCCCGCCCTCTCGAAGTACGAATACTGTCCCTTCCCCGAATTAGAATTTATATAAAAATACTTTTGCATTTGCCCCCCCCCCCGGAAATTTTTAGCCCCCCCCCCCCTCCCGAGAAAAAAGTCTGATAGAAACACTGCTCTTATTACTTTAATGTTGATCCTACAACAGGTCTAAAGATGAATCAATTGCCGTTTACATTACAATGGGCCGTGTTAAGGTGATATTTAGGTGTTGATTCCACGTGGTAATGAAGTGTTAATGAGGTATTGACGCTGAGCTTCTAACTGTTGATTTTACGTATTGGATCGCACGCTCGTAGTTTCTGATTGGGATTCGTTACCCCCCCCCCCTCCCCCTTCCTTGTTATGCTCTCTGTGACGCGTGCATCAAACTGCATAACACGAAACCTTTCCTCTAGTCCCCTGTCATCTGTAAAATGGCGTGTTCCGATTGTGTGATTACTTTCTGCTTCCTGCCGAAGAAAGTATCTGTCATTCCTGTTGAAGTTGTCCATAAATGACGTCACGCTTTTTTATAAAAAAAATTATTTATACTTTAACCAGTGTCCCGACCCCCTAGAAATTTTAATTCTCCTAACCGAAAGTTTCAATCCCCCCCCCCAGGGTAAATGTGTCTCAATTAAACACTGGGTCATCGGTGTTGAAGAACTTTTTTCTCCGGGGGGGGGGGGGGGGGGGGGGCGGTAAACTTTCTTCAGGGGGGGGGGGGCGGACACTGTTAAAAGTATATATTTTCTATATAAATTATATAAATTTCATTTCGTTCGGGGGGGGGGGGGGGGAGGGGGCGGTAAAAAATTTTCGGGGGGGGGGGGCTTTGCCCCCCCCCCCCCCGAAGAGATGCCTGGAAGAAACTCTGTGGGTCATCCATACATGATGTCGCATAATATTAACCAATTTTTTTAACCCAAGACCTATCGCCACACAAGTCGCCAGACCCATCCCCGACACACAATCTCGTCGTAATTTAATTTTAATAAACTTAACCGCCCCCCCCCCTAACTCCAACGTCACATGTCTCCTCCTAGGGTGACGCCATTTATGAATTATTCCTTTATATTGTAAAAAAAAAAATACAGTAATTACTAAAAAAGCGAGCGTATTTATCAAGCTTAAAAAAACATTACAAAAAAAACAACAAAAAAAAAACCAAAAAACAAATGATTAGTTTAGTAACATTTCAAAGCTGTTGGGGAATGGCCGGTGTGTGAAATAAAGGGAAATAACTGGTTTTCAAAATAACAGATGCAATGCAAGCTCTCCTATTTGCCTAGCGTCAAAATAAAAAGTTTGATGTTTTCGTTGGTAACTTGCTACCCGGAAGTGAACCCCTGCGACTTCGAACAAACGCGTAAAACCAAGAGACGGTATGAACGGAGTGGAGTAACAACTCCGTTGTTTGAGTGTGGTTTCATTGATTGTGTTTTGGATTTGCATTTGGTAGAGTAAAATCTAGCTTAGATTTTTTTCTTGCTTGTTCTGTTAGATTTTTAGATATAGAGATTTAGATCTAAAATCTAGTCTCTAGACGTCTAACCAGTTACCAGACTCAGACGACTCAGTGAGTGAGTGGGTGGACACACGCAGTCAGTGGACACCGTTGTGACAGTAGAACCTGCCGTGTTGTATTTTAAATTTAAATAGGCCTAGGGCTAGGCCCTGTAGATTTATAATTTAAATTTATATTAATTATAGTTATAGATCTAGATCTAGACTAGATCGTAGCCTGCACAGTGCTTTTGGAGCTAAGGACTGAAAAAGCCTTGTTTTCTCAGTGTAGACTTTAGATATAGATCTAGCTAGATCTAGTTATTAAGTTATTTTAGCTGCAAAAGAATAGTTGGCAGATGTGACTGCTGCAAATAAAATAAATTCTACTTTAGGGCAGGGTATGTGTTATAGTCAGTTATAGTGATTAAAAAACCTGTGGCTTAAAAATCCACTTCCATTTTAGGCTTTAGAACTACTTCTGATGCAATAAAGACAGAACAAAAATGTAACTTACTTGCAGCTCTGTGACTGTATATCTTAGGCAGAAATAATGTAGAATGTCTCTTGTTGACCCTGACATAAAGCCCTAGACCAGTGTTTCATAACCTTTTTGGAGGAACAGAACCCCACTAATTGCATATGCGCCAAACGCTTCTAAATATTTCTATCGTCCGCACTAGCAAATTCTGATCATGAATCACATGAGTCGAGCATGTATCTTGACGTCTGAATTCAATTTCAGTGCTTTGGCAGACTCACTATACTCCTTGTTAAAAACCACTGCCCTAGACTAATTTTACCAATAAATTTTGTAAAAATAATTCAGGAAAAAAGTCTACATTTTACTTTCCTGTTGAAAGCCCAGTGTTTTCTGACAGGTGCTTGTATTATTTGATAAGCAGATGACTGCAGATTCAATTCATTTTTAAATTAAAAGTGAAAAGCTACCAGATTATGTATTTTGCATTTATATTATGGGCTAAGCAATAAAATAAAATATTTTACTTAAACATATTAAAAATAAGACTCCAATACTAAATATTGTTTACCTTGATACTTCATCTTATTGTAGTTTAATGATTAATGTTTTTTTAAACCTAAAAAAAAGAATAGGCCTACATTTTCTTGATATGTTTAAATTATTGAAAAATGTTTTATTTTTAGGTTTAAAGATCTTGATGAGTCCAGTAGCTGTTAGCGATGGTTGACTAGGACTGACTTATCAGAACAGGATAGTTTTGAAGGAAATAAAATGGTGTGTGTGCTACAGAGCTGGTATAGAGGGGTTTCCCCCCGGTTGCCACAGTTACCAATGTGTCACCAAGTTGTTGGATTATTTATATTCTTTCATTCATTTTTGTGTGCAACTGCGGATGCTGTAATTTCCGATCACACTCCTGAGAATGTGTCAACTCATGGAAATGACACTGCACATTCAAATAATTCAGGCGCTCACAGCAAAGGTCATGGTCACCACGGGGCCTTACATGTTGCTGCTGTTGCATATGAAGAAGTCAAGGAGCCTATTATATTCACTATTGTTGTATTACTGGCAGGGATAAGTAAAATCGGTATGTATATTATCAAAGTAGTACTTAAATTAGAATAGCTATTGAAATATATAATCGGTGCACTATTTTTGAATAAGTAGCCTACCAATTTTATGTATATTAATAAACTATTTATGTATAATGTTTATTGTTTAGAAATGTGGCTATCCACAACAGTTCATCACTAGGTTCTTTTGTATTTCTTGATCATTTTTGTAGTTTAGCTCCATTATTGTTTTTTGACTGTGGAGATTCTAGAAATATATTTAAGAATCTAACATACTGATATTTAAGAATTTTAAAACATTCCACCACTAATGTGCACACAATATAATCAATAAAAGAATCAATACATGATGAGTAAATCATATGATGTGTGATAAATAAACAGGATTAAATCCTCTCACGACTGATATTGTAAGGTTAACTTAAAGGTTGTATTATAATGCCATTCTTAGTAGTAATTATGAAAAAAATTGAGTTTTTGTGATAATATTTAATACTAATAATGGTTCAAAATTTTTGCTCTTGCCTTTCCTGTAGTAAATTTAAATCTTGGTTGAGAAAGAAGAACACAATTATTTTTATGCATCCCATGATTTTTATTTTTGCCATTTTAAATGTAAAAAACCGTTTGCTCAAGTGAATTATCTTTTTTGCTTCCTTATAATTAGCATTGTGTTTTTATGATCAAACTATTTTTCTGTATTTTGTGACGGGTATTGTTGTGGGGTTTTATAGTTTAAAATATCCTGTTGATAATTATTCTCTTTTAAGATTTTTATCCTGCCCTAAATCAGCAGGTTAATATATTTCATCTGGTTAATTAAATTTTTAGAATGGGAGACATGTCACGCACATCTGGTGTAAAGAAATTTTAATTAACATTTGTTTCATTTCTGGCTGATATTTTTTTTCTTTCAACTTTTTAATTTTGTCACTCAACAGGTTACCATCATGCAAATTTCTTATCCAGTAAAATACCTGAGTCATGGTAGGTGGTTTTTTTTTATAAATATTAATTATTAAAAGATCATGCACATTTGTTAAAACTAAAAAAAACTTGACAATTTTTATAACTGCACTACACATATTATATAACATTTTTAGGAAGACATCTGAACACACACATTTAGTATTGCACTATCTTTGATATTTAAAACAGAGAATGGAAATCACAATTGTTGGGTTCTAGAATCTAGGGGTATATAAATAACAACAGACAAATACGACGTATAGAACAATAACACTAACACTCTATAACAACAATAATAATAAGATATTTAATAATATATACAGTACTTAAATAATAAAAGGATCAAAAGGGGTCTACAACATAAATACAATACTCAACACCACGTTCCATGTTCCACGTCCACAGCCACACTACAACTACCTGATTCACACACTAGCACACGCTCTGACACCCGTCACCTGACACACCTCACGTGAACACCTCTCGCTCCATGTAAACACACTCAACCAAGGGATACAACTATACACCAAAGGGAGGGTACCTGTCGTTCCAGCACACAACACACACACACACACAAGCAGGGGACATGTAAGGGACGTAACATCCCTCCCCTCCACCTTCAGATCTCTTTTCCTTAAAGAGATCAAACATCTCTTGTTCCATTAGCCACTGTTGGTGCCCGAGCTCGACTATTTATTCTTCAGCCCTTAGGATGCCTCGCTTTGACCGGTGGGGACAGCGTTTGGCTTGTATCCAGCCTGGACAGTTCGGTCCAGAGTGTGGCTTGTATCCAGCCTGGACAGTTCGGTCCAGAGAGTGGCTTGTATCCAGCCTGGACAGTTCGGTCCAGAGTGTGGCTTGTATCCAGCCTGGACAGTTCGGTCCAGAGTGTGGCTCGCATCCAGCTTTAACATTTCGGTCCTGAGTGTGGACTATGGTTTTCTCCGGCCGGGCACCAAGCTCGTGGTCTGACTATCTCAACCTATGAAGATACATGCATGTGAGAAGCCACAATAAAAAATTTGATTTGCATAATCATTCTAAACTGCATCAGTAATACCTTTCTCAAACATTTCTCAATATAATTATATTATAATGCCTCAATAGTAAATTCCTTAACATAATCATACTATACTCCAACATTAATACATTTCTCAATATCATATACACTAGTTGGCGTAAAACACTCGTGATAGAATGTCTGCTACAAAGTTCTCAGTTCCCTTGATATGTTTCACAGTACAGGCTGTTTCCTGTAGTGTAAGGGCCCATCGGCAGATGCGTACGTCGCCATAGATGGTCATCTTTTCTTAAAGGCGATCAAACTGAGTTCCTTTCTCGATAGCCGTTTTAACTTCATTAATCGTCTCCAGCCCGTAATCATCGTACACAGCTTCTGTAAAAAAAAAACAAAGAAAAATTAACATTGATTGAATAAATTATCTTAACAAAAAACTTACCAAGGACACTACCTTTGTAAGGATACGCCTCCAAATTTCGTGCTTTACCTCACTCTCATATGCGAGTCTTTAAGCAGGGAAAAATTTCCTAACATATCACGCTGAGCTGTGGGACACACCCGTGATATGTGACCAACACCACCGCAGCAATAACACTTGAGATCATCTGACCGTCGATGTACATTTTCAGTACGCCAGTTGCTCGCTCCACTGGTCCCGTTGGGACATTTTCGTTGTATGTGGCCTGGCTTTCTACAGCTATAACAGGCGCCTGTATCTATATCCATACTGCACTCTTTGGCAATATGACCTTGTTCATTGCACTTGTAGCACCGATAAGGTCTTTTGTTGTTTCCATACTCCATAACAGCTCTTTTATCTGACCTATTTCTCCAAGTAAAGCCGCTATTACTATTGCTATGACAATCCCTGGCATAGTGTCCATAACGTCCACATGTGAAACATTCACTGCTCCGGCTGACCTTCCTAACACCATGCATAGGCTGTACACCAGGGCAAGTGTGGTGTCCTGGAGATCGCGGTGTCGTGTTTTGCCAGGGTGTCCTCTCTGCTGTAGAACTAGCAGCGACGTAAGGAGGGGTTTGATTTACTGGCCTCGTCACTCTAGCGTTTTGCGTGCTCTTATAGTTGTCAATAACTTTAAGATTATCTTCCACACTTACCTTAGCAGCACCATTCAGCCTCTCCAACAGATCACATGTGACCACCGATTTTATCCGATCAACAATCAGGAGGTTCACTAAGTCCTCAAACGTTTCCTTTGTCTCCGACTGCCGGACCCACGCTCTCAACGCGGCTTCTGTGTTGACTGCGAAGCTTCTCATATCGTCGTGTGTTGGTACTAGCTGGTGGAATCTGACCCTATACTTTTCCTCGTTGAAACCTGCGTGCGTGAATAACTTTACCTTTACTGACTCGAAGTCATGATGCAAGTTCAGTCCCGTCTCAACGAGGAAAGTCTTCAGTTGTCCACTCATCTTGTCCGTCAGAAGGAGCGACCAGTCCTTGGGGTCAATGCCTTGTCTCTTTGCCTGACTCTCAAAATGCCTCACATACGCACCCAGGTCTTCGTCCACCGTCATCGCCGCCACGTCCCTCAAGCGGGGTACAGGGTTACATACCTTTGCTACAACCTCGACCTTCGCATCTTCCACCCTCCTCAACTCTTCCTTTACCCACTCCGCCAAACTGTCATCGGTCAGCCCGATTAGTTTTCCCTCCTCCTTCAAGTCACTTATTAGCTGTCTTCTGGCACTCCTGGTAGTAGCCATGCTAAACGGACGAGCCCCCAAATGTTGGGTTCTAGAATCTAGGGGTATATAAATAACAACAGACAAATACGACGTATAGAACAATAACACTAACACTCTATAACAACAATAACAAGATATTTAATAATATATACAGTACTTAAATAATAAAAGGATCAAAAGGGGTCTACAACATAAATACAATACTCAACACCACGTTCCATGTTCCACGTCCACAGCCACACTACAACTACCTGATTCACACACTAGCACACGCTCTGACACCCGTCACACCTCACGTGAACACCTCTCGCTCCATGTAAACACACTCAACCAAGGGATACAACTATACACCAAAGGGAGGGTACCTGTCGTTCCAGCACACAACACACACACACACAAGCAGGGGACATGTAAGGGACGTAACAACAATGATGTTTTTTAAACAGTCTCTTGTTTTAAAATAACCAGAAAAATGTCATATATACCTCACCATTCTACACTGCAGAAGTTATAACTGAATAAAGATCAAAGCTAATGTTCCTCCATATCACCTCCAAACCCCATTAAAAAAAACAACTAAGTTAAAAAAAACCCATTCTTCCTGTTCTAAAAGTACATTATTCCACCCTTTCTACTACTAAAATGTCATTCTTTACCAGATTTCTATTCATCTTGCAACAGACCTTGCTTTAAAAGCTTATTTACACCTTTTTTTTAAAAACAAACCATTCCCCAATCAAAGTATGTTTGAATGCAGCTATTGTATTGTAATCTGCATCCTGTTATTAAGAAAAGCCCTGTGTAATCTATTGAATTATCAGTAGTACAGATCTCAAGTTCAATATGCTGGCCTGCTCAATTAAAAAACAACAGGCTAATCTGATTGTTGTCAAATTAAATCTGCACCAATGAAATTGCAGTGTGCATATTTTTCTCTCCCTTTGCTGTGGTGTGTAGATTTAATGGTGAATGATAGTTTTTTTGCAAATAAATAATAAAATGTTTTTTTTTTTTAAAACCATGAATGTTAATAATTTTATTTTATTAAACCATTATCAGTAATGTTTCTGTAGTAGTGGTAGGTGTATAGTTTTAAAGTTAAAAAAACCCCAAGATTTTCTAGAGACTTGCGTTCAATAATTAATTAATTAATTAATTACATCATGCCTATCGCAGCCCAAGTAGGTCCTAAAGCTACATACATGTATAGTGAGATTACCAGGCTATGGTGGGGAAAAAAAGCATAGACCACAGATTTCAAGATAAAGGGTTACCCTGCTAAAATACTTGCATAATAGATGGACCTGTCAATGTTTGGTCTTTCATCTGTCTAGTTTCTCTGTCCTGACTCATTTGGGGGCTGATGGAATAAAATGTTAGGCTATTTTTGTCCCACTGACCTTTAGTGTGAGTACACATTATCAATAATAGACCAGGTATTGTCAGCCTGCACTAGAGCATATTCAGGTTGTTGACCTCTATGCTATATCACAATAGTGGATTTTCTTAATCACTGTACGCAGTTTTAAGTAAACCAAAGCGGGATAATTTTGTACCATAGCTCTTAACAATACAGTAAACAATGAAAACATTATTTAACAGATTCGCTTTCAGACAGGGAACATACAATATCAATTCTAGAAACTGTTCACTTTAAGACATGAGACCCATGATTCCCCCTTATAAATTCTAGAAACTATTCACTTTGAGACAGGAAACTCATCATCCCCTTATAAATTCTAGAAACTATTCACTTTCAGACATGAGACTTATTATCCCCTTATAAATTCTAGAAACTATTCACTTTGAGACAGGAAACTCTACTAGATCCCCTTATAAATTCTAGAAACTGTTCACTTTGAGACAGGAAACTCTACTACATCCCCTTATAAATTCTAGAAACTGTTCACTTTGAGACAGGAAACTCTACTAGATCCCCTTATAAATTCTAGAAACTGTTCACTTTGAGACAGGAAACTCTACTACATCCCCTTATAAATTCTAGAAAGTATTCACTTTGAGACAGGAAACTCTACTAGATCCCCTTATAAATTCTAGAAACTGTTCACTTTGAGACAGGAAACTCTACTAGATCCCCTTATAAATTCTAGAAACTATTCACTTTGAGACAGGAAACTCTACTAGATCCCCTTATAAATTCTAGAAACTATTCACTTTGAGACAGGAAACTCTACTAGATCCCCTTATAAATTCTAGAAACTGTTCACTTTGAGACAGGAAACTCTACTACATCCCCTTATAAATTCTAGAAAGTATTCACTTTGAGACAGGAAACTCTACTAGATCCCCTTATAAATTCTAGAAACTATTGATGAAGAGAATTTTGGCAGGCGTAGATGGCAATTACTAATTTTGTCTCTTCACTCCCTCATTGGTTCTAAATTGAGGTGTGTATTATTGACTAGGTCAGTTTGACCTAAAGAAAACATTACCATATAAACTGTTTAACAGTAACACTTTTTTTAACATAGCAAAAATTATTTTGCAGTAAAAGGAAAGTAATCAAATGTTTTCTTTTTGTTTCTAGTAATTTTCAATTTCCAAAAAAAACCCACCATAGTTTGGGGTGAATCTAGCATAATTAGTTTAACTCCTTCTCTTGTTTGGTTTATATAGGAATGTTGTTTCCTATTTGTTTGGTTTCATTCTCGAGACCAAATGAAAAACAATTGTTGCAAATTTGTTGAATCCCCATAAACAGTGAAGGCTTGACTTAGTCTTGGATAAAATCTAAACCAGCATTAACTCTTGTTTGACTTTGAATGCTTCCCTCCCTTAGTTTTGTATCAATTATTCCCCTAGAGTCTTATCTGGCCACCATTGCTTAAAGGTTAGATCCACATGGGGGCATTAACTCTAGGTTAGAGCCACATTGGGGGCATTAACTCTGCTGATAAAACAGTGGAGGTGATAGAGGAAACAGTTCCCTGGTTTTGTCATTGTTTACAAGACATTACCTGAACAAGCACACAGGTTAAAGGTTACTTCAGGCAAGTTGGGAGGTGTAGATTATGTAATGAAGTCAAACATGCCACAGAATGAAGGTCTTATGTGAACATACTGAACTGAACATTTTATGTACATTGTGTTTATGTTTACCAGATTTTTAACACACAAGGGGTGGGGATAATTTGTAATAATAATAGCAAATCATGGCATCTTGTTACTGTTAGTGCTTTATTTAATGACGCAAACAAAAAATGAAAACAAACTTCTCTTATTTTGGCATTAATACATATTTAAGTTACTGGTATGTGTATATGTAATATTAAAGTGTACTTTATGTGGTCATATAAACATACACATTATATATGGCATATTTATAAATATTTGCAGCATAAACTTAACCATGGGCCTACACATATTAATGAAATATGGACCTAACAATGTATACATACCAAATTTGGACTTGGTTTCAAAACATTGACATAGCACAATTATCAAGTATTAAATAATAGCATACTTTATAACCATTGTAAGACAATTCTGAAAATATGTAGCATATTGTAATAATGGTGTTGTTTTACTTGCAGCATACTTATCATCCTAGGCACTGTATTTGGAGCTGTCATTCAGTAAGTAAAATTTATCTGCACCTTTTACTCAATCTTGATCCCTAGTCTGGCTCACCTTTTAGTTTTCTTTTTTGTTAATCTTGAGACGGTCTTTGGACTGATTTTATTTATAGCTGTAAAGATTTTAAAAATCAACTGCTATGTTAAAAACAATATACATTTTCAATTGTTGGTGTATTTAGAAGCTTATAAAGTACGAGCTGACCCGCTGCATATCATATGCCGCTATTTAGTTGTTTTATTTTCTACTTTTCAGTAATTTATAATTTGTGAAATCGACAGTGCCAATGCTGCCACTGAAAATATTTGCTTTAAAACTCTATCAGTTGCTGGTTAAGGACGATAACCCCCCTTCCCCCAACCCCCTGCCCCTAATAGCCGTAACTAAACCCGGCTCCACGATTGTAAAAAATTAAGCGTGAACCACATCTCACCGGACTTCCTAGAGAGGAAGAGAGGGGACTGCAAGGCGCGCTTACAGCTTGTTATCTAACGTCTCCAAGAAGAGAATTATATATATAGATAATTACTTAGCTTTTTTTTTATAAACATGAAACATGAAAAGATGGTTTGTTATTTGTTCTCTTCTATTAGTTTTACAGGTCTGGCTGAAAGTTTACCAACATTTTTCAAGCCTCATGAGTTTTTTATATTCTTGCTGCCTCCGTAAGTAACCCTGAACTTTGTGTTGTTATGTTAAACCATTGTACAGTAAGTAACCCTGAACTTTGTGTTGTTATATTAAACCATATAAACGCAGTAATAACGCAGTAAGCTGACAAAAAGATTTTTTCTTCTTATCTTGATTATATCTGGTTTTTCTTTTACCCCATAAACTGCCTAAACCAGTCATTATTTAATGCAGTGATTGATTTAACGTGTAAGGCTGGCTATTTAAGCTTGTGTAAGGGGCCATAACCCAGCATGCCACAACTTTTATAACCTCCCTTGTTCTGTTTGCAGCATCATCCTGGAGGCAGCTTTCAGCCTTCATGACAGAACCTTCATTGAAAACTTTGGCAGCATCTTGCTGTTTGCTGTGCTGGTAAGTTCCGTCACCTTGACCTTTATGTGACACCATTCCTATTTTTGTCACCTTGACCTTTATGTGACATATTTTTGTCACCTTGACCTTTATGTGACCCTCACATTGTTTTAGTCAGATATCCCCATCTTTATTTTGATCACCTGCATGTGTTACAACCTGTCAATGTACTGTATCAGCCCACTCTGTTTTATTTTACCCACCTCAACTTTTATTTCTTAAAATATTTATTATTTGAAACCATTTTATTTTTAACATAACTGAAAGTCTTGCATAACATTTATAGCATTTGCAATTACAGAATTTATGTTCTATGTAAGTTATCTTTGGTAGGTATTTTTTTCTGTTTTCAATTCTTAATTCATTTACAAAAATATAAATTAAAAAAAATGGCACTTTATTTTTAACAAGAAAAAGCAGACAAATATATTAAATTGGCCTAATGGTCATGTTTTTTTGTGTTACATAAATTGAACTGTTTCATGGATGGATTGTATTTAAACCCAGTTAAAGTTTGGCATGCTACACTCCAGAGTAGTAAAATTGTTACTGATTTTTTTCTTTGGATTTTGGTTCACTTTGATGGAATTCAATTTAAAATAAATACATTTCATTACTAAATAGAGTTTCTGTATGTTTTTAAAGTTCACAAAAGGGTTTATTAAAAAAAAACAGTTATTAAATTTTATCAACTGCACTAAAATTCAACAATCAAAGAGAAATTTGATGAAAACCACATTTTTCACTAGACCAGATTCCTACTGAATCATAATTTCCTGCATGCATAAACACACAGTAGAATAACACAAAAAGCTTTCAACAGAAATTATAAAGATCTGATTGATTAAACATTGTCATGCCTGACAAAATACCACTTAAAGCATTATTCATTGATGGTTAACGTCTGCTGGTTCCTGCACAGTAAAGCATGCCTCCCCCCCCCCCTCCCCACAGTTGTTGGTGCTAATTTCAAAATGTTTCAGTTTGAATCTGTAGTCTCACCTTTTGTTAATTAATCTCACCTTTTATAAATTTGGTTACAATTTTGGCAAGTTGTTTACCTTTTCATACATATGTTCTAGAAGATAACATGATTGGTATAGTAATGTCTTGTAGGTTGTTCTATCCTTAAGATTAACACAATCTTTACACTTGAATAAAGGCTGTAGATTGCCATTTAGGTTGTAAAATTAAGTTAATTTAAAAAATTACGAATGATTTTTCAAAAATGTGCACTGAAGTCTTAACATTTACATTTTATGCTAAATTAGAAATTTTGAGCTTTGCTTTGTTGTATGTCCTGTTACAGTTAGCCTTAGTATTAACATTGGAAAGATTTTTCTGTTTTTACCAAAAAAAGTTATTATCACAACATGTCAAATTATTTAAGTAAAAATTTCCTACTATTCACTACTCTAAAATGATGTGAATGGGATGACTCAAAAGTAATAGTGATGTGAATCCTAATGGAGCTTTATATGTTATTTGGGTTTTTTTAATGTGTATTTGGGGATGGAAGTTCAGCAACTTTAAATTTGATAATGGGGTATGTAAATGGTTCCTATCTGATTTGTAGGGGTAAAATTTTATTTATGAATCATAAACACTTTAATTTTTGCAGTGTTACAGTTATTATTTTATTTGTCCACACAAGGGTTTGAATTTGATCTGCATGAAAATCAAAAAAAAAAATTGAGGTTGTGGTTGAGTTTAATAAAAACAAATGAAACCATGATAATATCTAACAAATGCATATTTTTATTTTATATTTTTACCACTCCATTTTGGTCTGTGACCCCCAGGGAACAGTGCTTGCATGTGCAATGTTGGGTAAGTCTTCATGGCATGTCAGTGTATCTGTGTACAAAGTAAACAAAACATACAGCCTGCTTCAGTAATGTGCATGTCTGTCTGTATTTCACATGTTAATTTCTCTCTCTTTGACAAAATACTCTATTCAGGTAAAGGTACTATAAGCCATGCAGGTTTCAAATGTCTTCTTTCCCCTGTCAAGTGCTAACTATTTATATGTATTGTGTTTATGTAATAATACTCTGCTCGTTTGTCTTTGAAATTAATTTAGCACATTTCCAAAAATTAAACCTTTCTCCACAGAATAAATGTATTAAAAAACTAAAATTATATCAATATTTTATGAAATTTCTTCTTTCCTACTGTATGTTTCTTTCTTTCCTTTAATTAACCTCAATATCACTGATTTTTAAATTGATTTTGTGTTATTTTAATGAAGTTAAATTCACTTTGTTTTAGAGTTTTTAAAACTGCAGACATTTAGTAAATAGCAACCCTACCTTTCTATACAGCTCCATTAATGGGTTTTTTTTGGTGTTCATTTAATTTGGCTCAGCTTATGTCCGTGGTATCCAAATTGTTTCAGTAAACATAAAAAAGGGGCTGCAGATATTTGAGAAATAAATGCTTTGTAGATTTGACATGATCAGTTCTCTGATCCATATCAAGGGACTGCTGAATTGAAGAGTTGTCTTAAAGAAATCTCTTATTATTGGCTAGAACAGTAGTTCCCATCTATCACAGATCCCTGGATTAGACATGCCATTTAATGCATGTTACCTTTGTTTTTAAAACATAGTATTATGTAGTAATTTGGTACACCAGTAAAAAAAAATATGATACTGAATATATTTATAGTGTTTAAACCATTGTTGTTGTATTGATGGTGTAGAGTTTTTGTTTGCACTAATTTATCAATAAGAAATTGTGTTTGGTGTTAATTAATTTGTTCCTGTTTTCTTGGTGTAGCCTTAAAACAGAGTATTTTATTTTTCTCTTGCCAAATGCTCATGTTTAAAAATCTATTTAAAAAAAACAATTATTAGTAATATGGATTTTTGAAAGCCTAGTTCATTATCAAAGTGTGAAGTTGGATCAAAGCTAACGAATTTTCGGTGTAAATAAAACCTCTGTAAAGCTATGCAGTGTTTGACAGTGTTAAATTAGATTAGCGGCGACATGTTTTTCTACTTGTGTGTTCTTGAATAAAAATGTATTTGTTAAGATGCATTGAATAGCTAACCCATTTAGTATTACATCCCTCTTTTGCCAAATTTATCTTGGAATAGTAACTTTATTATACATTTTACAACAAGATATACATTTATTTTGTTGGGGCTAGTAGGGTATTTTACCTTAGTTTTTGGTGTATTAAAAAAATTAACAACTAGTGAAGCCTTTTCAGCTTTAGTACTGAGCTTATTTATTGTCTCTCAGTTTCAAATAGAAATTTGCTTTTTGCCATTAAAAGGCAGTTTAAGTCATTTAAATTTTTAAACATTACATATTGTATCACAAGCTTTTGCCATTTAGCAATAATTCCTAAATTTCAGTCAGCTTAAGTTAAACAAAATTAGCTAATTCTCTATTGCATGGAGTTTATGTCAGTTCATGTTAATATGTTAATATTTTTTTTTAGGAGGAACTCTGTATGGCCTGGCAAAAGTTGGTGCTATGGGGGAGATAGGGGACATAAGCTTTGTGCAGATTATGGTGTTTTCCTCCCTTATTGTAGCCGTGGACCCAGTGGCTGTAAGTAGCTGTCATAACAACAAATAAAGTAAACAAACACATAATTGTGGTCAAGCTAATAAAACCATGTGCTTTTGCTGCAATGTGAATATTTAAATAGTAACAGCTGCAGGTTCACAGTTAGCAATATCCTATTTAAGGAAGGTTTTTGATATCTTTGAAAATGAAGTAAAAAACAATTTTTTTTATACTTGCAGGTGTTGGCTGTATTCAATGAGATTGGTGTCAATCATGTTTTATATTTCCTTGTTTTTGGAGAATCACTACTTAATGGTACTTAACTGTTGTATTTTTTTTCACAAGATAGCACTGTATTTGGTTAAGTCCCTTAGTTATCTGTTCTTCTTCTCTTTGTTTATTCTCTCCCTTTAAAACATATATCCTTATCCTAGCTGACTATACAGATAGCTGTATCTGTTCTCCAGCATTTTTGTTTTTTCTCTCCCTATAAAACAGATATTACTTCTCCATCATTGTTTCTTTTTTCAGTCAATAATGCTCCAAGTCAGTTTAGGGCTTTCTTTATGTTTGTGTGTTCTCATGGATTGCATCTCAGATTTAGCCAGATGTTAAAAGTTAAATTCAACCTACACAATTAACAGAACCTTCCTATTTCACTCTTTGCGACTAATGTGATGAAAATGAATTATTTTTATCTCTTGGTTTTGGTAACTAATGTGATGAAAATGAATGATTTCTATTTCTTGTTTTTTGTAACTAACATAGCATATTTCTCTGCCAGATGGTGTGACTGTTGTGTTGTACAAAGTCTTTCAAGCTTACAATGTGATGGATGAAATCACAGGATTGCATGTAAGTACTTTATTTGTTTTGTTTCTTTATTTTATTCTATGTTTTTAACTATGTTAAATTGATCATATATTCAGTCCACACAAGTATTTTAAATTCAGAACATTTTTTAAATATTAGAAATTAATTAATTGGAAATTAATTAGATGTTTTTTTTCTTTAGCCAGAGAAGTAATGTTAGACTTTGAAATTAATTAGATGTTTTTTTCCTTTAGCCAGAGAAGTAATGTTAGACTTTGAAATTAATTAGATGTTTTTTTCCTTTAGCCAGAGAAGTAATGTTAGACTTTGAAATTATTTAGATTTTTCTAGGTGTTGTAAAGTTCTTTGTTGTTTGCCTTGGTGGCCTTCTCATTGGAGTTTTAGCTGGTATTGCTACAGCTGTTCTGACCAAGTTTTCTACAACTGTGAAAGGTAAATGGGTTTCTAGTCTCTTTACACATTTTGTTCACTATGTCCTGTAATTTTTAGTGATGTAAAGTTTTAAAGTATTCAAGTTTATACAACAAACAGTATCACATGTCTATAGTACTAAATGAAAATGAAAAAAAAAAGTTTTTCCCGATTATTAGTGATATGACATTAGTGATGTTGAAAAAAAGATCTTATTTTAGTAAAGTTTGTGTTCAATTTGTCTGCCTACTCCTTGGTTCTTTTTTCTTAAATCGTTTTCTTCCCTCAAAACTGTCTAAATCTGGTTTCTTTCATGAACCTTTTCTAAATCTATTGTATTTTCATGAACCTTTCTAAATCTAGTGTATTTTCATGAACCTTTTCTAAATCTAGTGTATTTTCATGAACCTTTCTAAATCTAGTGTATTTTCATGAACCTTTTCTAAATCTAGTGTATTTTCATGAACCTTTCTAAATCTAGTGTATTTTCATGAACCTTTCTTAATCAAGTGTATTTTCATGAACCTGTCTTAATCTAGTGTTTTTTTTAACCTGTTTTAAAGCAGGTTGTATTAATTCATAAACCTGTCTAAAGCAGGTTGTATTATTTCATGAACCTTTCTAAATCTAGTATTATTTCATGAACCTTTCTAAATCTAGTATTATTTCATGAACCTTTCTAAATCTAGAGTATTTTCATGAACCTTTCTAAATCTAGTGTATTTTCATGAACCTTTCTAAATCTAGTGTATTTTCATGAACCTTTCTAAATCTAGTGTATTTTCATGAACCTTTCTAAATCTAGTGTATTTTCATTTACCTATCTAAAGTATATTATATTGTATCATAAACCTTTCTAAATGTAGTCTATTTTCATTAACCTGTCTAAAACTATTTTCAGTTGCTCAACCACTTATCATTTTCTCAATGGCCTACTTTGGATTTTTGATGGCTGAAATGTTTGAGTTTTCTGGCATTATTAGGTGAGTTTACACTGGTACATGTGCCAGATTGGCTTAGAGAAAAATACTTTTTCTCTTTCTTTAAAATAAGATTATACGAATAAATCAGAATTTTGTCCCTGATTTATTAAAACTTAAATGTAGTAAATTTGTACTTTTTAGAGGCAAAAATAATCCTCTTTTCTTGCATTTCTAATGAATGACAAAAACACTACTAAGATAAAACATTTCCTGCACAGTTAATAAAAATAATGCAGGATTAACATCATGGCTTATGATTTAAATTAAATTTCCCAGCATTATAGGCTGTGGTTTGACCCAGATGCAGTATGCGTTTCACAACATTAGTGACAAGTCTCGGACTACCATTAAATATTTTACCAAAGTTATCAGGTAAGATTTCTTGTGATTTATATTTCAGTAGTTCAAGTAACAGTTCAAAATGGATTTGTTACCAAACAGATTCAAATGCTAATCTTTTATTAAAATTTAGAAGAAAAGTTAAATTATAAAAAATAATTGTTTTTGTTGAGTCTGACTGGTCACATAAATTAGATTATAATATTTATCTAATACGATAAAAAAAAGATGATGTTGTATTTTAAAATTTTCAGTTCTGCCAATGAAATAATAATCTTCCTGTTTCTGGGCCTTGTGATGGTGAATGATGAGCACGTCTGGCATACTGGCTTCACCCTATGGACCATATTCTTTTGTCTCTTCTTCAGGTTTATCAGTAAGTCGCTATTATCTTTTGTCTGTTCATCAGGTTTATCAGTAAGTCACTATTATCGTCCATAGCTTTAACTTACTCTTTATCCAATTGCTATTGCGTTTCTTCAGGAACTGTATTCTTGTGTTTAAACCCATAAGAAATTAATTTATCGAAAAATGTAATGTATTATTTTCATATTTTCAATTATATTTGGAATGTCAAAAATTATAACTTGGCTTGATATTATAATTTCAGTTATATTTGGAATGTCAAAAATTATCAATTGGCTTGATGTGTATCGTGTCAGGAGAATTGGGTTTAGTGAGCAGTTTATGATAGTAAGTCTATCTGATTTATTGTAAGTTTATCTGATTTATTGTTTTTATTGTAAGATTATGATAGTAAACTTTATAATATTTAAAAAATAATTTTAGGGTTGTTTAGTTTATTTTTATAATTACATTTTTTGTAAGCTTATGATTTTAAGTTTGTTTACATTTTGTTTTGGTAAGATTTAGTTAACAATTCAAATTGTTTTATCTACCACATAGCCTTGCTGTCCCTGTAATAGCAATATGTGTAAAAAAAAACAACAACAAAAAAACCATGAATATTATACTGTATTGTCTTGTTGGCATCATAAGATGGCTAGAATTGAAGTTTACTTCATGTTAAATCTGAAAACTTGTGAAGACATTTAGTCAAACCTTGTTCTTTTTGCCCAGGCTTATGGAGGTTTACGAGGAGCTGTTTGTTTTTCTCTGGTTGCACTTCTTGACCCCAATGATTTACCGGCCAAAAACATGTTTGTTACCACAACGTTATCTGTTATTATATTCACTGTCTTTATTCAGGTAAGATGGGTTTTTTTTTCTTAAGGATATATGTACAAAACATAGTTTTTAATATTATATATATAATTCTCTTCTGGGAGCCGCTAGAAAACAAGCTGCAAACGCGCCTAGAAAACAAGCTGTAAACGCGCTCCCTACCTCCCCACCCCTACATGGTTTTAGTGAGCTGTGTTCACTCTAAATGTTTACAAGCAGAGCCAACGATTTTAAATGTAGGGGGGGGGGGAAGGAAGGGGGGGGTATGGTCCTTAATGAGCTACTTATAGTGTTTTAAAGAAATATTTTCAGTGGCAGCGTTGGTAGCCTACTTTCGAATTCACAAATTTTGAATTACTGAAAAGTAGAAAAAACAACAACTAAATAGGGGCGTATGTTATGCCGCGGGCCGGCTCGTATTATATATTCAATATCTGGGTTATTTTTAAGCAAGTGTGATATTAGGTTTATAATAGCCTTATTTAATGATGATATCTTGAGCTTGATCTTGGGAAGGGTATGGGGCATGTAGTTACATAATTACCTACATTAAATAGATACCATAAACTGGGTGGGGTGGGGGATATGTAGTTACATAATTACCTTACATGATGTATCTTAACCTGGGGGTTAGAGAAATAGGAAGCTCAATAGTGGCCTTACTTAATGTAGGTACATTGAATTGGGAGTTTGACATTTAGAAATGTCCATAATTGCCATACTTGATGTGCATATCTATTGATCTGCAGGGCATCACCATCAAACCTCTGGTCCACTGGCTGCAGATAGGTCTGGCACCAGAGAAGGAATGTTCCATGTATTCTGAGCTGAACACACACGTAAGTATTATAATAATGTTAAATACCATGTTATTTTATGTTGTGTAGCTATTCAATGTTATACTTTAAAAATGATTAAGTCTAATTCTTATTTGTTTAGATTACTGTACAAATGAATAAATTCTATTACTGGTTTGTTTATATTTCTGTAAAATGATTAAATTCTAATTCTGATTTATTTAGATTACTGTAAAAATGATTAAATTCTAATTCTGTTTTGTTTAGATTACTGTACAAATGATTAAATTCTGATTCTGGTTTGTTTAGATTACTGACCACTTGATGGCAGGGATAGAAGAAATCATTGGTGACCATGGCAAAAATCATTTGCGGGTAAACATATTTTGACTATTTTAAATATGTGGGATGTACTTGTAAAAGTATAAAATAATTCTATTAACTGTCTAGAAATGTATGCATAAAAAATTAATTAAACTAAAAACTTAAAATAACGATCATGTAATTAATTGTATTTAACCAGGAAAGGCTGGAACAATTTGACACCAAATACCTCAAGAAATGGCTGCAGGTGGATCCAGACCCGAGGGATGCCAGCTTGAGAGAGTTCTATGAGAATTTACTTCTTAAGTAGGTTTTCTATTACACAAACTTAAGAGAATTCTATGAGAATTTGCTTCTTAAGTAGGTTTTCTATTACACAAACTTAAGAGAATTCTATGAGAATTTGCTTCTTAAGTAGGTTTTCTATTACACAAATTTAAAAAAGTTCTATGAGAATTTACTAGTTTCTGTAAAATTAATAGTGTGTCTACTTGCTATAAAGAATTGCCATCTTATTCAACTTTAGTTCCTGTAAACTTAGTCAGGTGCCTGCCTGCAATCAAAGCAAGTTGTTGTTGAAGTTAAATATCAGTTGTCTTTGATTTAGTTTAGTTGACATGTTGCCTTTGATTTTGTTTAGTGGACATGCTGTCTTTGATTTAGTTTAGTTGACATGTTGTCTTTGATTTAGTTTAGTTGACATGTTGTCTTTGATTTAGTTTAGTTGACATGTTGTCTTTGATTTTGTTTAGTTGACATGTTGTCTTTGATTTAGTTTAGTTGACATGTTGTCTTTGATTTTGTTTGGTTGACATGTTGTCTTTGATTTAGTTTAGTTGACATGTTGTCTTTGATTTAGTTTAGTTGACATGTTGTCTTTGATTTAGTTTAGTTGACATGTTGTCTTTGATTTTGTTTAGTTGACATGTTGTCTTTGATTTTGTTTAGTTGACATGTTGTCTTTGATTTTGTTTAGTTGACATGTTGTCTTTGATTTTGTTTAGTCGACATGTTGTCTTTTTTTTGTTTCGTCGACATGTTGTCTTTGATTTAGTTTAGTTGACATGTTGTCTTTGATTTTGTTTAGTTGACATGTTGTCTTTGATTTGGTTTAGTTGACATGTTGTCTTTGAATCCACAGGGAACATTACAAGTACTTGAAGCTAAGTGGGGCCAAAACACCAGAAGAAGCTCCTGAGCTGTATGTACATTTTGTTTTCTTGCTTTTTATTTTTGTGTTGTACTTTTGAAAAATGTTTAAACCTCTTTTTTAAATATTAACTTCCCATTTTCAGTATTTTCTTTTCACAGTTTATAATTTAATTATTTTGAGACTAAATACTTTCAGTAATGAAGTTACCAACGTTTGTCTTAGTACATGAGAAAAATAGTTTTTAGAAACTAAAAATACAATTTTGATTTTTTGGATCCCACATGTTTATCAATCTATGTATGTATAGATATTTAAAATTCTTTGTTTTTTTATTGATAGATTTAAAACAAATATTTTGAGAGCACAGATCAATCAAGAAAAAAAAATCAAAGTTAGAAAGTTTTTTAACTTTAAATACAAAAAACTTATGCTTTTTATACCAGAATATTCCTGTTAATTGATACAGTGAACTTTTGTCGATACTCATTATTGTTTTCTATGAAGCTGCCTGTTTCTAACAAATGTTTAAACTATTTAACAGTTAAAAAGATAACTGTCTAAAAAAAGTTTCAATGATTAAAAAGATAAGGTTTCTGATATAAGTAGTGGTTGCAACATTTAATGGTTAAAAACTTACTAGTAAAACAGAATTAATGGTTTTTAATTAGATGTTTAAAACATGTATTTAACAATTTAATGTCCAACACAATTTATGTTTAAAAAATTTATTGCCTAACAGAAATAATGGTAAAAAATTTGATGTTTAAATAATTTAATGGTTAAACAATTTAATGTCTTAAACAAGTAATGGTAAAAAAAATTGTTTTTTAAAACAGCTTTTATGTAATGATGCACTAAAAAGTAGAAAATAAATTATAGACTACTATTTAAATAACTATAAAGAAAAGCGTGGGTGTCTTCCTTAACATTAGTAAAGGTATCCAATAGATACTAAAGTGACCCACGCTTTTCTTTATAGTTATTTAAATAGTAGTCTATAATTTATTTTCTACTTTTTAGTGCATCATTACATAAAAGCTTGTTATTAAAACGTTTTTTATGAATTTTTTTTTAAAACATTTCATTGTTCCACTATTTTTATTCTAACACAATTTAATGTTTACAATTTGTTTTTTAAAAAACATTTAATTGTTCAACTATTTTTATTCTAACACAATTTAATGGTTAAAAAATTTGTTTTTTAAAACATTTAATTGTTCCACTATTTTTATTCTAACACAATTTAATGGTTAAAAAACTTGCTGTTCAGCTCTGATTCGTACTGTCTAGATTCGTGAGTCAAATTTCAATAGTACATCATAGCTGGTAACAAAAGCCTTTTACTAAAATAACTTTGTAAAATAGGACAAAGAAACATCTGTTTTCATAAGTAATCCATCTAAAAATAATTGGATAAACCCAAAAGCTAAATGAGCCAAATTCATTTCTTTACACATGATTCAATGTAAACCCAATTCATTATTCCTCAACACTAAAAATATAAAGTATTATTTGCAAATATGTAAGACTATGTGAATGCATTTAAGAGATAAAAGATACATTTTTCAATAATATTTATAATCTAATATGTGAACAAATTCTACACAAAAAAGCAAACAACAGATCAAGTATATAGAAAAAACATAACAAGAATATCTCAGTTTTTCTAAATAATAGTTGTAGAAGCGCTTATTCTGGCCCTACTGACCTATTGAAACCAGTTTTATTTCAATATACTTAATATTCCTTTCAGCCTATAACACTAACTTAAAAACATGGTTGTAACTTACAATTAGAAAAAACCACGAGGTTTTGAAAATTGTTAGAAAATTGAAAATGGCCATGTATTTTAAGCCCTTCTTGACAATCACAATTATTTTCACAATTTTTCTTTTGGTGTTTAGTAATTAATTTGATGAAACAAAGATAAAATATTTATAAAAGGCATTAGATGTTAAATAAGAAATTATTATACATCTCCCCATAATTAACTTGGTATTTGTCTTTGTTTATCACGACTCTTTTGGGAGAAATGGATGCATATATTATGTCCCTTTATCTCCCTTATTAGTGGTCAGAATATCAAAACATTACAATCTGGTTGGGTAATGTTTTAGGTGAACCTTCATGTAATCTCTGTATTATGTACACTTCTTATTAGCCACAACTACAATGTGGTACAGTGAGTAGTAGTCACTGACCTTTAGTTATATCATTAGTGCTAGCAATTATTTATAAAGCCTGCAAAAATCACAAGAAAGCAGCAGGTCTACGTATTGTGTACCGGCACTAGGCTGTCATGTGCAAACTGCAAAACAGTGCCACAGTCAGCAGGCTGGGTCACTATTTAGTTGTATAAAATTAGCATAAAGAGCGTAAATGGCCCTTCATTGAAATCCAAGGCCTACAACCAAGATATTTATTTTGAAAATGGATCAATTAAAATAAGAAATCCATGATGACAGATGTTAATACAAAATATTTTGAGATTTTTTGCTTACTGTTTATAAAGTTTATAATTTTCATCACAATTAACATGTCTACTTAATTCAGCGACAACCAACTGTTTCTGTAACTTTGAGGTCTATTAAGTTTTGAAATTGTTTCTTAATTTTGCTATGGTTAACATTTTCAAAATGAAATTAAACTAAGGGTTACTTTAGGTTTACTAGATGTTCAAATATTGTATAATTTTTGCTATAATTAACAAGTCTTAAAAGTCAATAAAACTGAGGGTTAGTGTATTTGAGGTTTACTTAGTATAGACATGGTTTATTATTTTTCTATGATTAACATCAAATGCTATTACAGGAAGATTTTATTGTCTAAGGCTGTGTTTAATTTGCTTCATATTAAAAAGAATGATTTAATAACATAACCATAATGCTTACATATTTGTTTTAGTATTAATATCTAAAATTTATTAAAGGATATTGAATATCAGCACAAGATAAAATTTGATGTGCTTTATATCTTTAGAACAATTAAAAAGTCATTATTTTTATATTTTAAAAAGTATTGTCTATTGCCTTGAAAAAATGAGTATAGGGGCAAACAGTTAACAAAAAACAAGATGGCTTTACAATTAAATTCAACATTTAATGTTGTTTACCACCAAGACAAATGAAAAAAAAATTGTACGGTATATTTATATATTCGAATGTTTATTTTAAATATGTGTTTAATGTTTGAACCAGGCGTCACATACCTAGTACATTACAGTTCTTTGGGTACGTATGTTGCTAGAACTGCCCTCCCAGATAGCTTGACCTCACCCAGTGCCTGTTACTTTTTGTTTAACAGCTTAACCAGAACTCTACTTTATTCAAAAACATACTCTGAAATAACACTTGGAATGTGCTCCTCTGCGAGTTAATTAAGAATCAGAAGACAATTTTAATTTGCATCAACTCACAATTTCTGGCAACAAAGTTTTAAAGAAAATACTGTTTAACAGGATTATTTAATGTTAGTTACTGCAATTACTTTAATTGAAATGTGGCGTTGATGCATATTATTAATTTATTCTAATATTTCTTTAAAAAATGTTTATAGATCCGACCTTTCTTGTTGCAAAATAATAATTTTTTAAGTTAATTAAATACAATTTTTTTTAGACAACTACTTTTGTTTAACTTTTAATAGACTTTGTTTGTTCTTAGAAGGAACATTAAAAAAAGCATATACAAAAATTAATCTATATCTTCAAAGTTTAAATTAATAACATTAATCTTTAGGTGTCTATAAAAAAAAAATCTATCACTGTATCACTGCAGACACTTGTGATATTTTTTATGCTGTACTTTAACAATTCACTTTTTCCAAAGCCCAATTTACCAGATTTATTTTGTTTATTTTACTTAGTGGTCTTTTATTATGGTTTGTAAGCTAACTACGCAATTTGAACTCTAATCAATGACTTTATTGTGCAATTTAAAACTTCCAATCTCAAGACTTATTATCTTAAACATTGCCTTCTAAAATCCTAGCATGACCGGATGATACAAACATATTTCTAAGAATATTTGTAAAAGTTATTTCTTTACAAAAAAAACAAGTATTAATGTATAATCAAAACATTTGTATAATTTCTTGTCATACTTTTAAATTTACTTGAACACAGTATAAAATTACTCAAGAATCATATAACAGAATATCAACTTTTGTTTGTCAACATATGGAACCTCTGTAATAATAGCTGTACATATTTATATGAAGTTGTCCATGTGGGGGGGGGGGGGGGGATGTTTGATGTTTAATGTTAACTGTTTTATGCTTAGGAAAATAATCGTTGAGCTTTAGGTTAAAACTGGTTATGTTAACAGTTTTATGCTAAAAGAAATAATCTTTGAGTATTGAGTTAAAATTGAATTGTCGTGGTTTGTAAATAACTGAACATTTTTTTTAACTTTAATTTGGCTTGAATTAATAAGCTAAACCCTAACCTTAGACGCTTGTTCAAACCAATTTTTTTTACACCTCATTTTCTCACCTTTTCTTTTTTTGGATTTCTTTTCATTTCCCTTGCTTCTTTAGCTGGCGCAGAAGAAACAGAGGGAGGAACAAAATATGCCCACCGTTAAAAAAGTTAGACCTGAATCCAAGGTCAAATTTGTTTTTGTTTAATACAGAGAGCCCTTAGGTTTTTACCCTGTCTTGACCTGGTGTACAAGTGTTTGAAACAAGTATTTTAAAAACTGCGTTCCAGTTTGTTGTAGATGAGAATGACTTGTAATTTTAATTGAAAAACTGAGTCAGCCTAAAATTAAAACAAGTAAATACATTTTCAAACCACTTTTTGGATAATGAATTGAAGCTAATGTCAGCTTTATCATGATAGGCTAGTTTCTGACAAATATAAGTAGGTTTTCATACAATTGAAATTAGGTTTTTTAAAATACTTGTAACCCAAAATTTTGGTTGGTTTTTGTATTTTTTCCCTCCAGTTCAATTAGTTTTGCGTGGTATAGCTAGCTTTTTTAAATTAAAATTTGTTTCATATTTTGTTTGTGATTTATGTAATATAGACTTCCCATTTAGTGTTCAGGAATATAGTCAATAGATGATATTGAAATAATTTTAATATATTATAGAAATTGCTAATTTTAAAATTGCTTTTCTTACATAATTACATCATTTGCAACATCATAGATTAAAAAAAAAGTATTGACCCTTTTATAGCTTGCTTTCAAATTATTGAATACTCTTTAATTAATTTTGATCAAGTTTGGCTAGGCATTTTTTCTATAAAGCATCCTTGAGTGTGAGTTATAGTTTTTCTTTTTTTGCCCATTTATTGTAAATATTTTATCAACCCTTAAGGTTTAACAAGTCCATCTTTAGGGTTATCATCTCAGAGTTAAAACTTATAAAGTTCAGTGAAAATCTCAGACAAGCAGTCTTTATAGCTCAACACCATCTATTCTCAAAAAAATAAAATCTTTATTTTTATTTTCTAATCTACATTTGCATTTAACTTATTATTGCTACTCAGACAAGCAGCCATTTATAGATCAACGAAATCTTTTCTAATCATTTGTAAAAAAAAAAAAATCTTAATTTTTATTTACTAATCAACATTTGCATTTAACTTATTATTGCTATTTAATTTTTAATACATTTTATTGGTATAGTAAGAGTTTGAATAGATTCTTGTAATATTTTGGTTTGGAAAATAGTTTATTGGATAAATTTTTTTAATTTTCTGTTATTTTTCTATCCGATTATTAAAGTTGTGGTTAATTTATTTACTTAAACTTTTTTCTTACAAGACTTCTACCATGCAGTGCATGAAAAGTGCATGATCTGCATGTTTCCTTTACAACATGTGAATGTGATAATGATTCTGGTTTCTTATGCGCCAGGAATAAGAGACAACTGAAAAGGAAATTTATTTTTAGCTGCCCTTACTTTCTTTTAAATAAAAATTTAACCAATTTTAGCAAACTTTTTTCTGGCAGCATGTAACTACAAAAAAATGTAGCAGACTGCAAATAAAAAAAAAAATTACTCTTTGCTACAGTCACACATGATTTTATATCTTGCTATGATTTTATTCAATTATTTAAAAAAAAAGCAACTATTCCATACAACTATGAATGGAACTTGCATTTGTTGTTTTAGTATTATCATATACATGTTTTTAAACGAGATTTTGGCATAAAATGTTGTCAATTACCAGGCCACATGTCAACACAGAAATGATGTTGTCCACCCTGGGTGCCACCACACCCTTATCACACTATGCAGAGCCTTTCCCTGAGAAAGTTGAACAACAACGAACACCCAAGGCCAAGTCTAAATCAGCTCCTTCAACTCCTGCCATTACCATAGAAATGGAACCAAGTAAAGTCCTTGTCTTTATTGCTGTTTACGTTTCTCAACTTTATTAGTTATTGAAATATTTAATTTCATTATGAAATAAAGTTTGTTTTAAAATTTTTTAGAAATATGTAATTTATTCATAAATAAAAATAATTCTCTCTAAATTTCAGTTGAGTTGAGGAAAGGTCGTTTTGGACGTTCTAAATCTGTAACTGCTGCGACAGATATTGATGCGAAACAATTACGTGGTTTATTGCTATCAACAAGAAATACCAGAATGGTAATTACACATTTTCTACTCTACTTAGTAGATAAATCTGAAAACTGCTTTGTGTTTGGTACATAGTGTGAAAAATTTTGTTTGTCTTTAACTTTAAAACAAAACCAACATAAATTTGTCATATAAAACCTTAAAGTTATGGTTATTTTAAAAATAAGTTTCACTTTCAACCTAATAGACATACAATTATACAGTTATTGTAACAGGGGAATTAATTCTGAACATGCTTGATTTTCTTTTTTCTTTTTTAAAAACCAGTTTAACTTTCCAGAAATAAATAAAAAATAATAAAATGTACTGTGGATAAAAATGTATTAGTTAAGTCGAAGGCATAGTTCTAGAGATCAAAGTTTTGAAATATCAGTAGTATTAAATAGGATAAATATTTATTTAACCTTTTTTTTTTAAATTCTTTTTTTCGCAGGTCAATTCTCATTATGACAGGAATTTGACCGGGAGAGATGAAAAACACACTGAGATACGCTTGAAGACCAACAGGAATCGGAGGCTGATGCGTCTGGTCAGCGAGGATCCAAGGTCAAACGCAAACGTACAGAGGCGCATGTCGTGGTCGGATGCAGATGCTGAGGTTTGCGAACAGCGGGGGGTGTCACGCACCAAGGCACCCCTGAGGCAGGCCATGACAGTTGACTACGGAAAACCAGCTGATCCACTTTTTGACCCCGCTGAACTTGGGTCACCTAGATCCCCCCTGGGGTCGGTGTTTGAAGAGGAGGAGAACGAAAACCAACCGATGATTGACGTGGATGGTAAAAGTATCACACGGGGCGGGCCGAGACGGTCTAGCAGCAAGCACAAGCTGGAGAGGCAGATGGGGCTGGACAAGACTGGCCCCGAGGTGGACAGTGCGTCACAACGCTCGGACGATAACGACAACCAGAAAGTGCCTCTAGTGTCTGCCACAAAGGGAGCTCATGCAGTCCAAAGCAAGTTAGAGTCAAAAAGGGGAAGTCTGTGAACATCCATGGCTCATGCAGTCCAAAGCAAGTTAGAGTCAAAAAGGGGAAGTCTGTGAACATCCATGGCTGTTGTGTCTACATGTAGTCCAAAGCAAGGTAGAGGTTGAAGACTTAATTAATTAATTGTTAATTACCCTGTAAATGGTTTCATTACAACATTGGGGATGTATCATTGGGGAAAGTGGTGTATGTTTTGTATGTAACTGACTTGCTAGATGGGGGTAGAGGTTGAGAATTGCTGGTATTGTTTACATTTCTATGTGCCTGCTGTTATTCATGTAGCCTAAATGTGTACTCTCTACATATTTTAACAAAATCTTTCAGTTTCTAATATTTTTTCTGAATTTTAGATCTCATTTGTATTACAAAAATTTAAACGACTGATCATATAGTAAACTGTAATAATTTTATTTTGTTTCTTAAAATTAATGGTTGCAAGATAATCCTATTCCGATTTAATTATTTTCACTTGAAGTGTTATGCTTTCAATTCATCCATGAAGTCAATGCAATTATTGAATTCTTTATTCTGATATAATTGACAGCAGATTAAGAGGGTACGATCCTACTAAAGTATTAATCCATTATAAAGATTTTTTTAGCATTTTTGTATGTCTCAGGTTATCATAATTCAATGAGATTCACCAAAATTTCACTTTTTTTTTTATGAACATTCAGGCAAAATATATTCCAGGGTAATTTGACATTTCTTTGAACATAAAATATCTATTATTTTTTAATATTGTCATAACTAGTAACCATTGGTTTGATTATTTCATATTGTGAAACCTTGTTTAGCTGCTTATGGCAAGTATTGATTGAATACAAATCCTAAACTAATTTTTTTCTCATTTGAAACAAACTTTATGAAAAGATTAATCAAGATCAGTAGGCTACTTGACCATAAATACTTTAAGGCTATTGAGAAATAAAATTGCTAAATTACTAATCAAACAGTTTTTTATTAATCCATCAACTACTAGTAATTATTTTCTTTTGAAAATAGTTATAGTTTTGCTGAAAACTTCTTGGTAGACCCTCCAAATTTGTGCCATTTAGCAACCTCAACTTGATAAAAAGTAACCAAAAAAACTAGTTAATTAATTTAAAAATGATGTGTTTGGTAGATCACCAGAGCTATTTGATAGCAAGGATAAAATTACTTATGGTAATGGGATTGTGTTATTATGTCTTAAGCATTTTTCTAGAGTTTAGTCATTTGAATTAACTAGTATATTTTTAGTTATGGCTTAGAAACCTATTTTAATTGCACTTGATTTTTAATTTTTTTCATTGTCATTCACTGTTTCAAGTTTGGGGTACAAACTCAAAACATTGCTGAGTGACATTAGGAACAAATAATTTAATTTAACATTTACACCCACAGTTTTGCTCAAATGTCTGCATATTTTTTGTATTGCTCATTGTTTGGTGTATCATTTACTTAAATTCATTTTTTTATTTTATTTAAAAAAATTGTTTTTCGTGAAAGATACAGTAGTTCTAAAACTTGACAAATTTATGTGACGTTTATTTTTTAAAATATTTATACTCAAGACAGAGTATCCCAATTTGGTACAAAATTGTTTAAAATTTTAGCATTTTGACCAAAATAAACATACAATTTCAATGTGACAAATTTTATCTACTTAGTATTTACCATGGTTTTAAAGATTTATTTTCTTGTATTTCCGTAGTAATCATTGATTTCTCACACTTTATTGATTGTTATGGTGTAGTAATTTGCTTGCTTAAGCTGTGCGCGATTCTCTAGTAATATCATTTTATGGATGTAATTAAATAATTTCAATTGAATGATACCAGTGATAGCTATATTTGTATGATCAAAATTGTTACATTTTATATTTTAGGTTTATGTCCCAAAATAAATTATCTGCATGTAAATTTTAAATAACTTTCAAACACCCTGGATAATGTTTTTTTTTTAATTTTTTCTTTTTCTTGAACAATTTTTAACAGATCTGATTCATTCTGACCATTCAGTTCATGTTTTATTTCCTGATGGTCAGTTGGTCCACTCACCATCTAGAGTAAATCAAAATTGTTTTGTCCCTTTCTACACACAATTTTGTAAATTTCAATTATTTAAAATTGTTTGTTACTTTAGTATGTGTTCACTAGATAAAGACAGTGTTACAGATGGAAGAAGTACCAACTAGAGGCAGCCTTAACTAACACCTGGTAGAACTAGCACATGCAGTATAGACATAGACACACTTGTGCTTATTGTAGGTAGATTTCACAAGTTGATTGATTCAAATTGGACTGTATTTCTCTTGACCGCTTCAATGTCTGCACAAATTTATCTGGCTTAGTCCCACCTTTAAAATTTCGGGAGTAGTTGAACAAGTATAGTTCTCTTTAGAATTTAGGATGAACATGAAAAGGAACATATGTCTGTGTCAAATTTGTTCTAAAGTGGATCGGAGGTTAGTCGTTTTAGCTCCACTTTTCTTCTAGCTACTTACTATGCAAATCCTGTCATTCTATGCTTATATTTTTATGTTGTCAGAAAACAGCTATTTATTTGTGATAAATTTGAATGTATACTGCACAATAATATTTTGTATTAACATGTTTGGTGAGAACTGTTACTTGTATGTAATGATGTTCAAATTACTTCTAACTCTCATGAGTTAAATTTCAGATTTTTGTATACACATCTGATCATGAATTTTTTAAAATCCATATAGCTATACAAAATTATTTAACATTTTATTTTCACTCTTGTATTAGATATAAAAATATAATTAGTTTAAACAATTTAAATTAATTTTTTTGTGTATTCACTTTATGAGAAACCTAAGCTGAAATTGTTTTGAAAATAGCAGCCCATTTGAAGTTTGTTAATTTGTATGATTATGATGTAGAGTGGAGATGTGGTTTGGTTTAACCCAAGATCTACAATATTCTGTCCATCAGCTTTTTCCTAATTATTATTATTTTTTAAATTATTTCTGTACCTATATTGAATTATTCCCCTCTTAAACTTTAATTATCCTTTTTTTATTTGTCTCTTTGTTGGTGTGTGGTCAAATCGATCAATTTTTAATGGAGCGATTTTTTTTCACTTTCCAAATAAATGGATCTTTAGTGACAATGCAAATATATCATATTTAACTTTTTTAAAGTCAAAATGGGTTATAAATCTAATTCACCTACTTAGCTTGTTTATGAAAGGCTCTTGTATCTAATATTCATTTAGTCCAGGGGTCTCCAAACTTTTCAGTCCGAGGGCCGCATTAACTATCAAATTTCAGTTCGGGGGCCAGTTAGTTCCAGACATGTCTTTCATTTTTCTGGGCAAAGTTCCTCAGTCATCACCAACAAAAAAATTTTCCGTGGACAAAAAGATCTCCGCGGGCCGGATGAGATGACCTTGCGGGCCGCATCTGGCCCGCGGGCCGTAGTTTGGAGACCCCTGATTTAGTCATACCTAAACTGTTAGTCCAGGTTAGGACATTCCAAAACACGATACCTCAGCTAGAACTCTCACATGACTTGACATCACTTTTGGCTTTGATTTGGTTTTTGTTTAAGTTAAAAGTAATCACTTATTTTGTGATCTCTTATTTCTCTGGGTAAATTTTTTTCTCCTTTTAGAAGATACTTTAAGAAATCCAGCTTTGATTTGTTGCTTTGCAATTATTAATTTTTAGTGCCAATGTCTGCCTGATCTGATGTTTGTTTAGCTATTTTTGTTTTTTCAAAACTTAATTACATTTTTTAAAGCATTTACATTATAGAACTAGGTCCCTAAACAAAAACAATACCGTTTTTGTTTTGTTAACAAAAAATATCTTACTTTATCAAACAATAAACAAAATAGTGTTGAAAGGGAAACTTATGTACCAGGTACTTGTCTATATGCAAGGCCAATAACTACTACTAGGACAGTTGGTTCAGATTGATTGCTACTGATCTCCCTTAGTTTGATTAAGAAAACATTTGTTAGTTGAGTAAAAACATTTTTATAAAATACATTTTCGGAATAAGTTCTGTTGTTGAATCACCTGTTAGAAAACTGCCTTATTTTTAGAGCTTTAAATGCATTTTATTTTAAAATTTAGTTTTAAATTTTTGTTTCAAGCATTATTTCAGTCTTAAATTTATATCACTGAATTTCAATGATTGTCTGACTGTATGAACAGTATTTAAAAAATGTATTTTTACTTTTTATAGTGCATATCCTACACCTATTAAATAAATTATCACAAATTTTATTTTTTGCTTTTGCATCATTTGTTGGATCAGTTATTCGCCATCATCTCCAACAAATGTTTAATGAAAACCAGAAGTTTTTACATATGCAAAACACATCAATTTTGTTGCTTTAAACAGTTCAGAATTGTCAGAAATAAGACATGAAGTAACAATGTATCAGTTGAGTAATAATAGTGGTTTAATTTGAATTCAGTAGGTAACATAATGAAACTTTTAAAAAAACTATATGATGTAAGGAAATATTAAACAAGGTTAACTTAACTGTGCCAGACTGCCCCCTTTCCATTTAAACTGCTCAAATCATATTTAGTAGAACCAGAAAGATAAAAAAAAAAATCTGGGATGCTATACTGTGTTGAAAACTTATGTACATCTCACAACTTGTGCAGATAAAAAAATGGTGTAAATATAATACTTAAAAAAAAAAGATTGCTTTGTTAAATAAATTTAAATAAGTAGGGGTATCAAGAGGCATGGAAGACTGACAAAGTGGGTACAAGTTTAAAAGATGATGGTCGATGAGATGAAGTAAATTATTGGTGTAAAACATAACACTCTTATTGATTCATACAAAGTATCAAAGTCTTCTAGTAAAGATTTATGTCAAGGAAAATAAATATACTTTCTAAATTCGTAATTTAAAATACTTCAAATTATATAAAAAAAAACTATTTTCTAAATATGCCCAAATAATTTACATTTATTAAATTTACTGTAAATTCCATGATCAAAAATTTTTTTAAAATACTATTTAATACTAGTGATAAAAAAGAAGTTTAACATAATTATCAGAGTACAAATACTATTTGCGCAGTTATACTTGGACTGTACATTGAAACATCTTGTACAGAACAATTCTCATATTTTTCACACTTAAAAAAGGCACAACACTTTCAAGGACAATTTTATTCTATTATTATTTAAAGTTATTAAAAATAATCAGAGACTCAGCTAAAATCACAAAAATGTAGATATTTTTTCACTTTGTTAGCATACACAATTAATTTTCTTTGTAAGTTTGAATACATCTTAATGAATATCATTTTGTATTTTTCATTTTTATAATTGATAAAATCTATAATAAAACAATGGCATTCTTTCTACATTTACAAAAATAGCTCTTTGAATATTTTTAAATAGCTTATCAATATTATTTATCAAATTTTTTTAGTAAAGCATAAATGAACCTAAAATATGTTTATAAAAGACAAATTAACAGTATAGGGATTAATTAAAAAATTAATTATTTATAGTGAGGTGATCCGTTGCATACTATTTCATATGACTCACATATTATCAACCTAATAATTTAAAAAAAAGGTAAAAGTTTGTTATTGAGATTCACAGCCAACAACAAAAATATTTTAACATAAAGAAATAGCATCAAGTGATATTTCTATCAATACTTGTCCTTCAAAATTATATAAAACCTGATGACAGTTCATGAAGGGGTGTAATCAGCATTTTATGTGAGTAAGAGTGGAGGGCTATAAATCACAATTTTGTGTTTTAAAATGTACATTTAAAAAAAATAAATAAAATAATGTGTTTGCCATAATCTCAAAAATTTTTTTAGTTACAAAATGTAATAGCAAAAAAATTGTATTACCTATCTTGACCAAGAGTATTTAATTGATATGTTAAAAATAACAATTGCTGTTTAAAAAAATTAATTGGTGATTGGGGGAGGGGGTTTAAATGGAGGAAAGAATAAGTATTTTTTTTTTTTAAAGAGTGATGGACAACCCCTTATGTAACTTTCAGGTATTTTTATTCTGATAAAGGCGATTGGAGAAAATATCAGTTATGTTATTACTTCATGCTAAAGAATATTTTTGTTTTTATAATATAAGTCAACAATTTTTCTTTTTAGTTCAAATGCAAAAACATTAAATAGAAATTAATTTTCATTCCAGACAACATAATAAAAACTTTTATACTTTGCATTAACTGACAGCTGAGTTCTACTAACCTTTAAATCTTATTTGGAAGAGAAAAGATAAATACACTCACACATACCCATAATATATTTGTTAAAACGTTAAAAAAATATCAGTATTGTTTCTGAAAGGTTGTAGTATCATGGCTGAAACATGCAAGGAATAATGAAAGTATAATATATTGATATTTATCTACATTTGAGATTAACAGGAGATGAACAGTTTTTTCTTTCTTCATTTCTGCAGCTAAGAACTACTGCTATGTTCTATTGTTGTTTTACTTTGTTTATATTTGAACTTATTCTATTTATAGATGCTATCATCCAACCGATGAAAATTATATCACATAAAAAATTATTCCTCTTTGAGCAAAAAAATTAATTGAATGGTTTAAAACAAATTTTAATAATTTCATTAACCGTATTACTAAAGTTGCTTAGTAATCAGTGAAAAGATGCCTTCCCATTCTAACTGAACTGGTTTTAAATTACATTTTTCTGCTGTATTAATGAGTTTTAAATTAATTAACTGGTTGATTAAAAAAACAAATTAATTACCATACTTAGATGGATGAACTAACAAGTAACATTAAATATAAAAAAAAACTATTCAAAAATGTGTAAATTAAATTAAGACACATCTTGTAAATAATGGTTGGAATAAATAAATAATGAAAACTAATTTATTTTAATAATAAAATATGGCTCATAATTTTTTTTATATATTATAGAATTCACATGAGTTATTTATATTTTGCATACTTGGTTTTTACAATATGCAAAGTTTTGATGTTTCCCTTTAATAATAATTAAAATAGCCTAGTTCAAGAATTCAAAAAAATATAATTAAAACTAAATGAAACAAATATAAAATGAAATGTTTTAACAGCTAGATAACCAATTCTTTTTTGAAGCAGTCTAAAACAAAATAAAAACTTGAAAGTAGTAATGACCACTGGAATGACATTTCAAATTATAATCTTACATGCTTAATCAATGAGTATAATCAGCTTACATTTTCCTGACTAAATGCATAAATGTAGCTTAATTTCAAAGTAATGAATTGTTGCACAGACATTTGTACTTCATGCTATAAAATATTTACAGTAGTAGTCAAAATTTAAATATTTATTTATGAAAGTAAAACATTTCTTTATAACAAAGAAGTCTATCTAGATATTATTGGTCCTTTTACAATGATGGCAATGACAAAGATGGAATTAGGGTATAATGGGAGGAAAGAAAACAGAATAATTATCAAAACGGAGGTAATATTTGCAATGATAATTACATGAATGTTTAACCTAGATAAATTTAGAAATGAATAGTTACATATGACAAATTTGTATAAAAACCATTAAACTAGTAATTTTGTGAACTTCTTAGTTCCTTTACAATGTTTTAAGAAATACCTTTTTTCACCACAGTAATAATTATCTTATTTTACTTTCCAGATAAATAATCAATAAATACCTGTTAAAATATCATTTGTTAATATTTTAAAAATTAAGGGCATGGGCGGATGGTGTAAACCCAATTAGCCAAAATGCTTATTTAAAAACCTAATGCTATCATATCTAGCATATAGTTATAACTTAAAGAGTTAATTCTAAAAAGTTAAAAATAACAAAAAATTTCCTGCTGTAGCCATGGTGATAGTTGCCATCTTGGGAGTTTTTTAAGATTTTAACATTGAAAAACACTCTTAATTTTTATTAAAATGGATCAAAAATTTTTCTAATTAATCTGTATACATATACCAACTTTGAAAATTTGTATGGTTTTTCTTTTACAGTTAAAATTGTGCATTTTTGCACACATTTCAATTATTAGAAAAAGATTTTCAGAAAAAAAAAATTGCAAAAACAAAAGTATTTTAAAATATATTCTATCAAAATTGTTAAAAACATGTATCTCTATAATCCTGTAAGTTTTTATTGAATTTGCATAAGCCATCTTTAAGTTATTTCAATGTTAAAAAGGTAAATAAAATCCAAGATGGCTGCCCTCACCATGACAACGGCAGGGAATTTTCGGTCATTTTTTAAATTTTTAGACATAACTCTTTTGAGTCATAACTATATGCTAAGTATTTTAAATATTTATAGCATTGGGTTTAGGAATAAGCATTTTGTCTAATAACGTTTTCATCACCTGCCCATGCCCTTAAACACTACAGAAAACAAAAAAAATGTTTACTGTCAATTAGTCCCATAGATATTGCTTTCATTGCTACTTTAGCAGTTCTGGTACAAATGATAATGTACATATACATTTAAAACAAAATTGCTTTCATAAATAATTGTATTTAATAGACAATTTTACCCCAGCTAAGTGAATTAACTTCTATTTTTAATTTAAAAATCTATTACTTTTATAATTATATTTATAAACATATATTTTTAAATTATGTTTATGGAATACTTTTGCAAAGAACATTCTTTCACACAAGAATAGCCTACATCTAATTTGTAACAAAAACTTTGTATTATTTATTTTGGATCCTTAAAAAAAAGAATAATTTTGTCAACATTTTTGTACAGTAAAATAATTATTAAAAAAGGTGTTTAGTTTAAGAAAAATAAATAATAGGATTCTGAAAATATAGCCTAGATACCTGTTTTGATAATCTAATAGCCTAGTTAACAATACAATAATTTAACAATATCACATTTTTAGTATTTTAAACCCCAGTAATATTAAATGATGCTTGGTGGCTTTTTTTAGTGTTTGCAGAAAGGAGATTTTAGATGGTAATTTTGCTATGCATTATCCCTCTGATGAAGTCTAGATCTTATACTAGTCTATTATTATGAACAAGATCTACTTCTCCATATAAAAAGTTTAATCTAAATTTAATAGTTTCAATAGTTGTAACATATCTTCAATGATCGTAAAATATTCATAACATGTTGAAATAAATAGTTTTTAACCAATAAATCTGTGAGGGACAATTTATAATTTGCATATTTCATTTATTTCGTCCCACAGAATATTTTAGCTGAAATGGCTAAAATATTACATAATGATAATTAAAAACTATAAATGGAAAAAAAAAATACAACAAATTAAAAATATTAAAATATACACAATATTCAATATGACAAGTTTCAATAAATGGAAACTACACCAAAAATAAGATAAAATTTAAATACAAACACATTATTTTTGTGTAATCCAGAATTTTGTAATCTAGATTTACATAAACAACACAAAAAATGCAGAAAACTTCATTCATGTCTTCTTAATCGTACGCGTTGATCTTGAATGGTAAAAACCAATCGGCAACAAATCCACACGTATCACTGGAGCACTAATCATACACTTATTGGTGTTTTATATTGCACTAATATACACATCTGTTGTTAATCACAAATATAGAGTTACGTCCCTTTGACCAAGTTTTTTGGAATTAAACATATTATTCTAGTAATGATAATTAGAATATAGCTCTCAATTGAATCACAGACACATCCGTTTTTTGAGCATATACATAACTCGCATGAAGCATTCATTGATTAAATAATGGATTCCTTGTTGACAGTGGGAGGTGTGGATTTAGAGTCCTGCCGTAGACTATCGCCGTCGAAGTCTGTGCTAGCGACACTGTCGCTCTGACAGATGTGCATCTCCAACTCGGTGAGACGCGATTCGACGTCCCACTGTTGTTGGTTCAGTTTGACAGTCAGCGCAGTGTTCTCCCCTTCCAGCTGAGCGAGGCGTTCGCGCAGGCGCGTAATTTCCTTCAGCAACGTTTCCGAGGGCGTGGGTTCTCTAGCTGGGATTGGGGAGTGCGGGGAGTGGAGCTGTGTTGATGGGTAGTGCGGCTGTAGTTGGGTGGATGTTGAGGTGAGGCTGTGCGGGGAATGGTGGAGTAGTGACGGCGAGTGCGGGTAGCTTTGGATGGGGGCTTGGGTTGCTAAGGAGAGCAAGCCCCCGTGTGACGATGGGGTGGAAGGAGGTTGGGGTAACAACAGGGTAGGCGTCGGGGAGTGCTGGTAACTAGCAGGCGAGCCCGGGAAATGCGACGGGGAAGCCGGGTAGTTTCCCGGCGGCGCGCAGAACGGGGATAAAAAATTGATGGGTTGGCCGGCGTTGAGGAAGGTCATGTTGTGATAAGCGTACTGCGGGGGCGCCGGCGACAAGGGCGGTGGGCCGTGATGGGGCGTCAAATGACCTAACGATGAATGACCATTCATAAGCGGAGCCGTGCTGACGATAGATGTGTTATCTCGAATTTGATAGGCTGCTATTTTTGGACTAGGCGGCGCGCTGAACGGGTTCCTGGCGGGTTCGGTGCAAATAGGCGATTTCTGCGGCGGGGTCCCGCAGTATGACGTCATACTGGATATCGTCATGGACGTCGTCATATTCCCCACCGGATGTTGAGAATCGGACGACATCCGGCGCGGCTGGTCGGTGGCACAGCGGGAGATGAGGTTGTCCTCGCTCTGGGTGTTGGTCAGTGTTTTTAAGGCGTGGTCGTCCCGGGCCGCGGGGCCGCCCGAGGAGCCGTCCTTGTGGATGAGACCCACGGGGAGGGTGTGGTGACGGTGGACGATCATGGAGTCCAGGGGCATCTTGCCCGTGCTCTCCACCAGCCCGGGGGTGCTCCGGCTTCTGGACATGGACACTGAAACATTCAAAAGTAGGTCAAGGACATTTAACTCAGGAAACATTGAAGTCAAAAGTATGTTAGATTTAACTCTGGAAACGTTTAAGTAAAAAAAATAGTAGGTCAAAGAGATTTAACTCTGGAAACATTGAAGTCAAAAGTAGGTCAAAGAGGTAGAAATAGATTAAATAAATTGAAAACATTAAATACATTAAACTTGTTTTAATTGAATGCTTCTGTTTTATCTATACTTCATTCAGCTATATGTAACTTTAGTAAGTATTTATCTTTTTTTTGTTTTACACATAACACGATTGTAGAGATGCAATATGAACCTACAACTTCTTGCGACTCTGCTTTGTGTTGCAAATATACAACACAGCCTTGTCTCGTGTAAAGTGTGACACAGAGATCAATATATTTTTTTTACCGTCCAAAATTTATCATATTATTATTTTTCTTGGCAACTGACCACCTAACATTTTTTTTTACCTATCTCAATGGATAACTGAAATGTTTTTTACTCTTCGCATTTGACGTTTTGATAATTAGTTTATCTCTCTTAAATGCTCATTTCATAACTTTTAACATAATCGAGCATCTGATACATAGTTTACCATTCTCAATTGACCTTCTGATAATTAGTTTATCTCTCTTAAATGCTCACTTCATAACTTTTAACATAATCGAGCGCCTGCTACATATTTTACCATTCTCATTTAACCTTTTGATAATTATTTTCTCTCTTAAATAACCAACCCATAATTTTAACCCTGACCAACGATAACCCTGATAAACATTGTACCCTTCTCAATGGGCGCCTTCTTGTACTTCTCCAGACGTTTGACCGCTATGGCCTCCAGCTTGACCCTGGCAGCAGGGTATTCCTTCAGGACGTCCCACAGGTCCTTCTTGGAGAGACAGAAGAGATCCGAGTAGCCAACGGAGCGCACGCTGGCTGTGCGTCTGTTGCCAGCGGTTCCCATGTTGAGGATACTGATCTCACCGAAGTAGCTGCCTAGAGGGAGAGAGGGGAGTTAGAGACGTGCTAGGGTGTTGAGCTGGGGTAGTGGAACATGGCACTGTGGAGTAGTGGGGTACAGGGGTTCTTGGAGTAGTGGGGTACAGGGGTTCTTGGCTTGTGGGGTACAGGGGTTCTTGGAGTAGTGGGGTACAGGGGTTCTTGGCTTGTGGGGTACAGGGTTTCTTGGAGTAGTGGGGTACAGGGGTTCCTGGCTTGTGGGGTACAGGGGTTCTTGGCTTGTGGGGTACAGGGGTTCTTGGAGTAGTGGGGTACAGGGGTTCTTGGAGTAGTGGGGTACAGGGGTTCTTGGAGTAGTGGGGTACAGGGTTTCTTGGAGTAGTGGGATACAAGGGTTCTTGGAGTAGTGGGGTACAGGGGTTCTTGGAGTAGTGGGGTACAGGGTTCTTGGAGTAGTGGGGTACAGGGTTTCTTGGAGTAGTGGGGTACAGGGTTTCTTGGAGTAGTGGGGTACAGGGTTTCTTGGCTTGTGGGATAGTGGGGTACAGGGTTTCTTTATCTTTGTAACTTGAGTTCGATGGAAGAAAATAAAAGTTATACACACAAGTTAAACCATTGTAGCACGGGGTTCTTGGCCTGTGAGATTTTCCGACTTTCTCTCACTATCTTAGCACCGTGAACTGTGGGATTTTCCTATTGTCTTTAACTTAGCAGTTTGAAATATGAACCACGCCTACGAAACTCGCATGATGTTAAAAATGGGACAAGCATTGTTTAAAGCCGTAAGGTTACTCTAATTGTTAAATAATAAAAAAAAACATCTAGAAACACATTTCTAGAAGACCAGGAAGTTACCAAAAAAAACTTTTAAAATTTGATTACACACACACAAACACAAAACAACAATATTTAAATTCATTTTTTCCTTAACCCATAATACGTTGAACTGAATGCATTCGCGAATTTCAGGTTAAAAGGATTGTAAAAAAATGAGTACTGGAAAAAGTCAGAAAATGTTTTAGTTTTTTTTTTCTCAACGGTGGCATTAGCGTTGTGGCAACTGATGAAAGCCTGAGGAACAACTTTGCAGTTTTTTTTTCACTTGTACAATTTGTTTTGTACTTGCACCGTGTGTTCAAACCTTTTTGATTGAGATACAATGGAATGTGGAACTTGGCTGTCTGAAGCTTTAAAACTGAATGCAGGCTTTGAGAGAATAGTTAAGTTAGTCTTAGTTATAGTGTGAATATTTAAAAGGCTGTAATGTGTTAAGGTGTAGAGTGGTTTGGATTGGGATTTTGTGGTGAAGTTTAGAGTGGTGTGGTCAGGTTTGGAGTGGAATTGGTGCGGTGAGGTTTGGAGTGTTGTGTTGAGGTTTGGAGAGGTGTGGTGAGGGAACAGGTGATATTCACTCATCTTGTACCACAAAATCATTGGGAACATATTAGGATTTAGAATATAGAGCCGTGTACATGTTTGAAGATGTGTATGCTGTCGTGTCATGTGACCATATTATCCATGTTTACAATCAAAGACAACCCTTCTCCTGCACTACCTAGCCTTACATCAACCAACCAAATACACAAGAAAACAAAACAAAAGAACCAACCAGGTTTCAAGGTGGCCAGGACCGTCTTCCCGTTATCAGCAACCACATGCAAGCGTCCTCTGTTGACGATGTACATCTCCTTGCCGACTTCCCCTGGGGGAGAGAGACACAGACACTTTAGGTTCCATTGGGGGAGAGACACAGACACTTTAGGTTCCTTGTGGGGATAGAAGGGGCGATTAAGCTTGAGCGGGGCCCCCGGCTGAATTTTTTTGGAGGCCCGTTTGTAAATATATATATATATATATATATATATATATATATAAGTCATTTCGGGAAAAAAAATTTAAGCTTGTGTTGCAAACATTAAAAGTTTTGTTTTTATAGTGAAAACCACCAATGAGGCAGCAAATTTGAGGGCTCCTAAAAATCGGGGGCCCCTGACTGCAGTCCTCTCAGCCCTGCCCCCAATTAATCCTCTTGGAGGAGAGAGACAGACACTTTAGGTCTACATCTCAACGACACAGTTTATGGGAAGAAAAACAATGTCTGGAAGAAACACTGCCCTGAGTCCACCCAGCTCTGATGTGTGCCTAACGCATGGTAGGGAAAGTAAAGGCGGCTGGGCAAAGTACCGACCACACTTTCCCTTCATATACTGAGGTAAAAAAAATATAAACTACTTTATTTGTCCAATGGATCTCTAGGCCTAAAAAGGATTTTTTACAGTCAATATAAGGTTGGAGGGGGGGGGTGTTGTGACAGCCACACTGTACTAATTACTGAGTATTTGTAATGCTGACACTAGTCAAAAGTTACATCCTTTTAAAGCCCGTACATAAAGTCATAACTCTAGTGCTAAACATAAGCCCAAACCCCAAGAGAACAAAATTTCCCCCATTCAGACTTTAAAGTACTCTGGCTTTTAAAAGAAGAGGGAAAGACGGATTTCTACACATTTTAAGACTGACGGCGTCTAGGTGTTTAAAACCCCACTTCAGATCGTCTTAACCGCGGTTCTCAATCTTCAGATCCCAGAGGGTATTCGTGTCATTAGTATGACGTCATAGCATGACGCCGTTGTCATGGTCACAGCGTCGGGGGCGGTTTGAAAGCCAGGGGTGTTAACCCGCTAAGGGGGACAACTCTTCTAGTTGACAACTTAATGTGTTTGAGTGAGCGGCTCGAACCTGTAGTTCAAGGGGATCACGCGACCCTTCTTTAGAAATGACCAAACAAAAAATAATAAATAAACACACACTGAACTTAATAGTTAATTACGTCTTAAAAAATCTAATTGACTTAATTACGTCTCTGATAAACCATGGGCGTAAATAACGGAGTAGCCTCCCCTCTCCGCCTCGAGAAAAATTGACAGGCAATTTTCTCGATCACCCATTCATCAGCACTCCCCGAACTCTCCCCGCTGAATGTGGACACAGATGCAACATGTCACACACCATTCATTAAAACAGCTTCATAATCTATGAAAGCTCCTAAAAATTCCTAAAATTCCTACAATGACCCAGAGGTGTAGCGACCAAATACCTCGACCGGACCGATCTGTCAATCTTGCTCCAACCCCCCCCCCCCCATAAATGTTGCTACATCTATGAGATGTTTTGGGATTTTTTATATATATCTAAATTAGGGCCCACATTTTTTTTCCTAGCAATATTAGCTCCCATTTTTCAAAGTAAAGGAATCAAGGGAGGTAACTAATAATTAAATTGCAAAATAAATAAAACGATTTTTTTAAAAATTGTTAAAAATAACAGAATTCAAATATTAATTAATATGTATTGTTAAAATAAATACAAATTATAAAATGGTTGATATAACCTTGTATATATGCCAACAATTTTTTTTGGCTGATTCTTAAAATTTTAGCGTAGTAAAATAATAAAACATAGTTTTACATGAAAATTGAATCGTCTAATTAAACGTTATACCGGTTTTGTTATTAATCTTTTTTGTAAACTCTTCTAATATTAACAAATAAAGAATGTTTGCTGATGTGTCTTATTGTAATAACATTACTTTTCCGATTGCTTAAAATTTGTATCATTTTAATTCTCGGTAATCCCAATTTTTTTTTCAGCTCTACTTAAAAACCCAAATTCCACCCCCCCCATCCCCTCAGCCCACCACGCCGAGGAAAAAAAAATCCCTTGAATCATCATTTAATTACACATTTGCATTTTCAGGTTGGTTTTTTTATTTTTTTTATTTTTTCTTTATATTTAGACGTTTTGTATTAGATCTATCTATAATTAAACCATCATATATGAATGAAAGCAGGCTACCAGTAAGAAAGAAATATTACTATTGTAAATCTGTATCAGTCCTCACAAGCCGATGATGAAAACTGTAATACTAAAGCGTACACACAACTGACACTATAAATTACGTGTCTGAGGCGAAAAAAATAAAAAAGTAAAAAAAAAAAAAAAAAAAAAAAAAAAAAATAAATAAATAAATAAATAAAAATAAAATAAAAAAATTCACAAATAAAGATTAAAGAGAACGGGCACACATTGGACGAATGTATCAATGTGTTAAATGCTGACCTGGTTCATAGATTTTTAGAACCAATTGAAAACAAGTTAATAAAAAGTCTAGTGACAATTTAAGCGCAATTTCCTTATGTTAATAAGTAAAACTCCTACACGATGCTCAGTTAAAAATATATTTTTAAAAAATGTTGTGACCGAACGAAAGGATATTTTTGAAAACTTTCTTCGGCAATATTGTTCTAAATTATGGCAGGAATCGATTGGTAAATGTTTCAAGTCGCTAAGTGGTCTGGTTGCCGAGATATGGGCAAAAACTGTATTTTTCGAGGTTTTTTGGCTTTTCCGGGAAATCCAGGAAGGAATTCCGGGAATTTTTTGGCCTATGTTCATCCTCGGAACTTGCTTAACATATTTGCTTTTGGAACTAGTCCTCGATATTGCTTCGTTGAGGAGGAGATACGAGCTGCGGACACACATCCATCCATCCAGAAATGACGAATTATTAAACGCAATTTGCCAGTATGGAAATTGCGCTAAAAAAATATTTATCATGGTTGTATCAAATAATTAAAATTAAATTACTAGGCATAATGGGTTGATTTAGGCGATGTGTGATTTAAAATAGAAAGACGTAAATCGCTTTAAACTTTACACATAAATAATATATCCTTTTGTAATGATTGGCTAAGTTAGTTTATAGCTTCGAACAGGAACAACCATAGAAATACCGAACTCTTAATAATGCAATTGAAAGTTGTGGGTAAAGGGAAACAACACAAATGATTTATTAAGATTTTTTCCCCTTCTTCTTTTGTATGTTTGTCGTTGTCAGGTTTTGCTTGTGGTTGTCAGGTTTTTGCTGCACGTAAATTTACATCTGCATATTTAGCGTAGTTTGAGACGTTGTGTTTCACATTCTGGAATCCAGGATGTCACAACCCCAGTGTGATGACGCTGGTTCAAGGTAGATGGTAGAAACAGACTATAGCTAGTTAGTTAAACAGACCAATGGATTTACAGGAGCTGACCGGTCACGTGGTACGGTCAGCTGACCAGTGGAGCGTGGGTCAGTAGTTAGATCAGCGGCAGACGTAGATATGTAGGGCTAGGGAGCAGTTAGAGTTGGTGATAGGTAACAGAAGAGAATGGTCAGAGAAATGTAGAGTTAGGTAGAGAGTTAGAAGTAGATAGTGTTAGGATTGGTCATGGGTGTGCGTAGTTAGAAATATTAGTAGACAGCATAGAGTATAGAATAGAAGTAGGGAATTGATTTGTGAAAATAAAGAATTATAGAACATCTTGAATTTGACTTGTGTGTGTTGGATGTCACTAAACTAATACCAGGCTCGGTATCATCATCTTCGTCACCCCCACCCTCACATTTGGTAGTGTTGCTTTTCCCCACCCTCACAACTGGTGGGAGATCTTCTATTCACCCCTCACCCTCACACCCAGGCCTTTGCCAGAATAACATTTTGATGATATTTCTAAATAATCGATTATTCCATAGACACTAAACGTTTAGCAATACCTAAATGTGATGATTACGAATTTCTGTAATAAAGACTCAGAGTTCATTTTTTCAAACAAGATGTCTTTTTAATTTCTACTTTCTTCCTTGGAATGTTGGAAGAAATTTCCTCCAACACCTTTAAGTATTGCGTGCCAACTTGTTATGGATCATTTAGGTCGTTGACTCCGATTTCAGCCTGCTTTTCTTTCTGAATATGCTTCCAAAACCTTTGTCCAACTTAGAACAAACTAAAAGGCAGCGGTTGTTTGATTTTGGAGTTTTCACTCCTAGATCCTAAGCTATCGAGTCTAATTTGGCCGGAGTTCGAACTCGGGACTTTCTAGTTTAGCGACAAAGAGCTGAACCGACCCGACCATCCGACCTCCAGCAACCTGTACAAACAAATATTTTACCAAACTTCATCCATTTAAACTTAAATCGATATAAAATGTACCACTCTATTTAAACAAACCTGCATTTAAAAAAAATAAATAAAATAAAAACATTGAACACCCACTTCCATATCCCAGCCTGAACAAACAAGGGAAGTCACTCGCTTGTTAGCCCTGCTATCTTTACCTTTGACAGACTCGTGCAGTTATCTCCCCTCCCACCAATATCAGATTTATGAAAAAAAAACCCAACCCCCACCCATAAATCTTCCACAAGGCGGCATCGATAAACACAGCAATGACCGGTAGAGTGATGACATCATTTTAATTACGTCACCACACTGGACAGAAATTAAAGTGACGTTTTCCGATCGATATGTCGGCTGAGGTCAAGTGAAGTAAGCCGCTAGGTTTCTTTCAGGTATTTAGTCCCACGTGTGTGTGTGGGGGGGGGGGGGGGGGTGAGTTTTCTCGCTCAATCCATTCCAACAGCAGTATCTGATCTTAATCGTTAGGTAGCAGTTACTCTGACGTATTCCGATCGGGAAAAAACCCATTAAAAATCCAAAGTACAACAAAACCACAACATGACTTCTTAAACTGCTATTCTGCTTCTCTCATGTTATTAAAATAAAGATTGCTATTCAGACCTAGCGAGCTATTGGGTAGATGAAGAAGAGTTCATTTGTTTCTTGACCTCGGCATATAAAGGGATAATGTGGTCAGCACTATGCCCAGCCGCCTTTACACTCCCTAACGTGAGTTAGGTACCTACTCTCTTATGGTAGTGGATAGAGCAGTTGGTGAGCCATAGGTGTTAAGATCACGTGCTTTATACCAACAGAACGTTAAACCATGGGCCTCCGTTAAACCATGGACCGCCGTTAAACCATGGACCCCCGTTAAACCATGGACCCCGTTAAACCATGGACCCCGTAAAATCATGGACCCCCGTTAAACCATGGACCGCCGTTAAACCGTAGACCCCCGTTAAACCATGGACCCCCCGTTAAACCATGGGCCGACGTTAAACCATGAATCCCGTTAAACCATGGGTTGACGTTAAACCATGGACCCCCGTTAAACCATGGACCCCCGTTAAACCATGGACCCCGTTAAACCATGGGCCGTCGGGACAAAACACAGCTGTCCCCTTACAAGAAACATGTGACACCCGCTGACGTGTACAACATGCTCATGGGTCATCGTATGACGTGGTGTACTCACCTTTCCGACAGATGTAGTTGTCGTGTTGTACTCACCTTTCCGGCAGATGTAGTTGTGGTGTACTCACCTTTCCGGCAGATGTAGTCGCCGTGGTGTACTCACCTTTCCGGCAGATGTAGTTGTGGTGTACTCACCTTTCCGGCAGATGTAGTCGTGTTGTACTCACCTTTCCGGCAGATGTAGTCGTGTTGTACTCACCTTTCCGGCAGATGTAGTCGCCGGGAGAAAAAAGGACCGGACGTAGCCGGAGCACAAGTTCACACAGAAAGCCGGCCTCAGTGGCTTGGAAGATCTCCACACGCTTCAAGGTGTCGAGGTGGACGTGGATGGCGATCTCAGCCTGGTGGAGTAGAGGTGGATTATAGGTGGAGTATAGGTGGAGTATAGGTGGAGTAGAGGTGGAGTAGAGGTGGAATATAGGTGGAGTATAGGTGGAGTATAGGTGGAGTATAGGTGGAGTATAGGTGAAGTATAGGTGGAATATAGGTGGAGTATAGGTGGAGTTTAGGTGGAATATAGGTGGAGTATAGGTGGAGTATAGGTGGAATGTAGATGGAGTATAGGTGGAGTTTAGGTGGAATATAGGTGGAGTATAGGTGGAGTATAGGTGGAATGTAGGTGGAGTATAGGTGGAGTTTAGGTGGAATATAGGTGGAGTATAGGTGGAGTATAGGTGGAGTTAGGTTGAGCTTAGTTAGAAGTGGTGTCAGTAAAGTGGGTGTCAGTAAATGATTATCAATGACGTCATGTCATTTTGTTTCTGGAAGCTTTTAACGGCATGTTTTAAAAAAAAATTTCTTCAATGAAAAAAGAGTTTAAGAAACATTTCTAAAAAAATTAAATTTCTTTAATGACCACCAACTCACACGGGGCCATAAAATATTTCTTACAACTCCATTCGAGACTTTAAAAATTATCTCAGATAAAAAATCTGTAGTAAACTCATGGGGGAAATATCATTAAATTCATAGGGGAGATATCATCAAAGTCACCGGGGAAATATCATGTCCGGTACGTGAAGTTCAACGACTGATACGTCTTTTGGTCTCCTGTTCAAACTACCAGCATAGCACCGCCATCTTGGTGCAATTTACAGTCAACTAAACTAATGGAATTGTGGGCTTAATATTTAGTGTTAGTTTAGGTTCGTGAGTCACATAAAAGCGATAACATCTAATGGGATTGTGGGCTTGATGTTTAGTGTTAGTTTAGATTTGTGAGTCAAAAGCGATAGCATCTGATGGTATTGTGGGCTTAATGTTTAGTGTTAGTTTAGATTCGTGAGTCACATAAAAGCGATAGTATCTGATGGGATTGTGGGCTTAATGTTTAGTGTTAGTTTAGATTCGTGAGTCACATAAAAGCGATAGTATCTGATGGGGTGTGGAAGTCATCATGACTCTCTGACGCAAGCTGTGTAGCTTTATGACTCCAGTCCTGCTACAGCTTCACGGTTACAGCTCCATTATATCAATCTTACAGCTGCAATCTTACATCTGTAATCTTACATTCAGCGTCTCCCTTTCAGTTTACAAGTCCCCTCACAAGTTTTATAGAACTGCATCAGTACCGAGAAACTCCGATGGTGTGCAAACTATTCAAGTCAAGACATTTTTTTTGTAATAATGGACGTCATCGTCTTGTGTTTAATGAACCGTCTTGGATGAACTAAAATTAATATAAAAAAGTTTTATATTATGACGTCAAAGAGATAATGGATTATTTTTTGGGTACATTTTTGAAAATGCATTTTGATTGTTATAGAAGTGGGGTTCAATCAATAACATAAAAATGTACTGCATTTTGTTGAAGTATTAAAGATAATTAGTTTAAAAAATGACATAGTTGAAAACATTATTTTTTTTAAAAATTATTCGGTGCAAACCCTTAAAAGGCAATTAATTTTTTTTCTTTCATAAAACGGAATCAATAAAACCTACGCAATCAAATGTTAAAAAAAAAGGTTAAAAAAGTTTTTAAAAAGTTTTTAAAAAGGTGAAAAAAAGGTTTAAAAAAGGTTAAACGAGTTTTGTTGTTGTATTCAAACCAGGCGTGGGTGGGGAAAGGGTGTGTGTGTGTGTGGGGGGGGGGATCAGTTTTGAGGCGTAAGTTAGCAGTTTATGAAGGTCGTCACTCATGGCAGGGGTCTTGTCATGCTACTGGAGTCTCTAGGGTCGAATTTCAACCCCAGGGGTCAAATACAGGGTGATAGGTTTCATCTTGGTGCTGAGGTCGGTAGTTTGAGGTTTTTGGGTGGTGTTAGAAGCAGTCTAGTGGCGGTCTAGTATTAGAAAACATACTTTTACTTTGTTTTATAAAATAGCTGTTTGCTATTTATTCTGCAAATATATTTCGCTTCTTACATACGTAAATACATTATTTGTGTGTGTGTGAAAATTATGATTTAATTTAAACCACGGCGTAAGTAGAAACTAAATTGACATAAAAGCGGATCATTAACATTTTCCAAAATTTGATTGTAGGCCTACACATCGCTGAAAGCTGGAAAAATGTAAAGCTCAAACTTTTCTAGCTCAATTTAATCACATAATCTACTTTTACAATTCCATTTTTAAATAGCTGTATTTTAAAAATCTTTATCTTTATTGCATCAACAACAGCTTGTTGCGTTCTTAAAGATTTTTGTTTAAAAAGTGATTATTTTCAAACAGCGTCAGTTGTTTCAAGGGCTCGATTGAGTTTTTTAAAGGTTTGGGGCCCTAGGACCTCGGGGGCCCTGGGACCTTGGGGGGCCCTAGGTCTTGATCCACTTTTGTTAGATGGTTGTTACGCCACTGGGCAAGATGACATAGAGGCAACATGATATAGAGGCAAGTTGACATAGAGGCAAGTTGATATAGAGGCAAGTTGACATAGAGGCAACATGACATAGAGGCAAGTTGATATAGAGGCAAGTTGACATAGAGGCAACATGACATAGAGGCAAGTTGACATAGAGGCAAGATGACATAGAGGCAAGATGACAGAGGTGAGATGACAGAGGTGAGATGACAGAGGTGAGATGGCAGAGGTGAGATGGCAGAGGTGAGATGGCAGATGTAAGATGGCAGATGTAAGATGGCAGATGTAAGATGGCATATACATGAGGTGAAACATAGACGAGATAACAGTAGCGAATGACGTGCAGGCTTGATAACATGAATACAAAATGACATAAATGATTGAGATAATCTGACTGTGAAGTCAAGTGATTGAGAGACGAGGTGACTGAGAGCTGAGATGACTTTAATCTGACCTTGAGCTTGTCAGGCAGTAGACTCAAGGACTTCTCCTCGTCTGCCGACTTGTTGCACATCCAGAGGTAGTCGAACCACTTGATGACGCGGTCCTGCAGCTTGAGCGGGACACGCCGCAGTGCCATGTACGTCTTTACTCCGTCCAGACGGGCTGGGGATACACAGGGTTAGCGTTAAACGGGGTCAAGGTTAGTGTTAAACGGGGTCAAGGTTAGCGTTAAACTCGGTTAAGGTGAGCGTTAAATGGGGTCAAGGTTAGCGTTAATGGAGTCAAGGTTGTTAAATGAGGTCAAGGTTAGTGTTAAACGGGGTCAAGGTTAGAGTTAAACGGGATCAGAATTGGCGTTAAAACAGGGTCAAGGTTAGCGTTAAATGGGGTCGATGTTAGCGTTAAACGGGGTCAAGGTTAGCGTTAAATGTGTTTTGAACGGTATGTAGATTAGCGTACGCGTTAAATGGATGTTACGATAAGCGTGTAGGGGTTATAAGGGATGTAAAGGTTATTGTTAAAAGGGGTTAAGGTTGATGTTGAATGGGGAGTTAAGGTTAGCGTTAAAAGACCGAATAAGTTATCTACAACCGATACGAAAAACATGACATTTATTTACTTGATTAGAGTAATATAACTGTCACCAGAAATTATTACATTTTACATGAATAATTTAATTTGGAAACTAGCAAGGGCTGTAAAAAAGTCGAATACGTAAGTTCAAGTTCGTTTCTCGAAGCACAAATTGACTCTTTTAAAAATAATCGGAAAAAAAAGATATAAAACTCTGAGAGTTATTGCTATAATACAAAACGAATAAAATATAAAATTTTTTTTTTTTTTACCAATACAAACAACAAAAGAAAAAAAAATATTCATAAAAAACAGAGTAAACACAGATTCAATTCCCGGTGAGGATTTGGGGTTTGTATCGTACTGATGGGTTAGGGGTGGGGGGAGGGGGTGGATTATGATGGATGGTTTTCTTTCAGCCCCAGCTGTTAGCTCCCACAATGCAATATGTCAGACGTCTCTAGCCCGTCTGACAAATTGCCGTCGGGAAGAAATGCTGTAGAAATCCGCTAAAAATTGCCGTCGGGAAGAAATGCTGTAGAAATCCGCAAAAATTGCCGTCGGGAAGAAATCCCAGATAATGCGTGAAACAAAATGTCGTCGGGTAGGAATCCCGGAGAAATCACCTAAAAATTTCCTTTTGGAAGAAATGCGGTAAAAAGCCTCTAACAAATCGCCGTCGGCTAGAAACCCAGAAAAAAAGCCTCTAACTAAATGCCGTCGGTTAGAAACCTTAAGAAAGCCTCTAAAAATGTGCCTCGGTTAGAAATCCAGAAAAAAGCCTCTAACTAAATGCCGTCGGTTAGAAATCTCAAGAAAGCCTCTAAAATGTGCCTCGGTTAGAAACCCGAGAAAAAGCCTCTAACAAAATGCCGTCGGATAGAAATCCATTGAAAAAGCCTCTAAACTAAATGCCGTCGGATAGAAATCCAGGAAAAAGCCTCTAACCAAATCCCGTCGGTTAGAAATCTTAAGAAAGCCTCTAAAAATGTGCCATCGGCTAGAAATCAAAGGTATATTGGTAAAACAAAGTATGTTTAATCTACACAAACAAGTCTGTAGTAAATACATCAGATAGATTGTTTATACCAGAGACCACCGCTGCAGATAGATAGTTACTGAAACTGGTCTACTAGCTAACCTCTAATGTTGATAGATCTAATGTTTCAAAAATGAAATCTTTTCTTAATTCACAACTGTTGATCGTTTTGAGGGTGGGTGTATATGTGTGTGTATGCATATATGTGTGTATGCATGTATGTGTGTGAGTATGCATGTATATGTGAGTATGCATGTATGTGTGTATCAGCATGCGTGACTGATGTGTGTATGCATGTGTGTGTGTATGGATGTATGTGTGTATCAGCATGCGTGACTGATGTGTGTATGCATGTATGTGTGTGTATGCATGCATATGTGTGTATGCATGTGTGTGTATGCATGTATGTGTGTATGCATGTATGTGTGTATGCATGTATGTGTGTGTGTGTATGCTAGTATGTATGTATCAGCATGCGTGACTGATGTGTGTGTGTGTGTGTGCCTGTGTGTGTCTGACATTGCGTGCGTGGGTGTTTGCGTGTAAATGTCTACTTGTCCTACTGTTTTGCGTGCGTGTGTTTGTTGTTCGAAGGCCACAAGAAACGCAGCGATGAATATCTACAATCAGACAACATCTACCGTCCGAGAAACCTGATATAAATCAACAGGGTTAACGCCCTTACTTCGTTTCACAGACGAAAAAAAAATCCTCCGCTTTAAACGTGGAATAAAATGGCGGGAAATCATTCATTAACCAAGCAGAAGGGGGTAAAAAAAAAACGCGGGAAAAGTGTGTTTACTCTTAAATCTCGATTTCTCATTTTAGCAGACGATAAAGTGGTTTTGGAATATCCAAAATGAAAATAGAATTGCCCCCCTTTAATCAGCAGATTCTATTAGCCATTCAGGAGACTGGTTTAGATTTTCTGCGGTTATGTCCCCTACCCCTCGGTATCTGGCTGATACAACTAAAATATATCATGTAAGTGTTAGTTGGCGTACACGACAATGAATCTAATTTATTCAGTAATTTCTTAATCAGCATAGAAGGTATGGAAAGTTATATAGAGTAATTTTTATATTTGAAATAATTTTTTAGGTTTGGTTTTAAAAGGATGTCAATAAAGTAATATTTTATAAATTAATGTCAATAAATATGGTAAAAACATTTTTGAATACGAATAGTTGATATAAATATAAAAGTAATATTTTTTTTTATAAAGGTCCACCTCAAATATATAACAAAACACGACACAATATCTAACACAACCCACCTCATTTATTAAAAAAAAAAACCAACTCCAATATCTAACAAAGCCCACCTCACATTCCGAATAAAGCTTACAAAGCCCACCTAACAAAGCCCAACTAACAAAGCCCACCTAACATATCCAACAAAGCCCACCTCCCAAAGCCCACCTAACATATCCAACAAAGCCCACCTAACATATCTAACAAAGCCCACCTCCCAAAGCCCACCTAACATATCTAACACAACCCAATTTCCAAAGCCCACCTCCCAAAGCCCACCTAACATATCTAACAAAGCCCACCTAACAAAGCCCAACTAACAAAGCCCACCTAACATATCCAACAAAGCCCACCTCCCAAAGCCCACCTAACATATCCAACAAAGCCCACCTAACATATCTAACACAACCCAATTCCCAAAGCCCACCTAACATTTCTAACAAAGCCCACCTCACGAAGCACACCCAATAAAGCCCACCCAATAAAGCCCACCCAATAAAGCCCACCTAATAAAGCACACCTAACATATCTAACAAAGCCCACCTCCCAAACCTCCCAAAGCCCACCTCCCACACCTCACAAAGCCCACCTAACAGATCTAACCAAGCCCACATCTGGCATTTAACACAACCTGTGCCCGGATGTTTGTTGCCTCAATCACGTGACCGCTTGACATAATTCAAGAGCGCGCATGTCGCGCGTGCATTTGTTATCTGGAGCCGCGGGAATCGATTGGTCTACAACAATGTCCACTTCAAAGGCCGGCTCTGGCCGCTCACACCTACACGCTTACACCTACACGCTCAGACATATACACGCTGACACTTACACGCTTACACATCTACGCTTACACGTACACGCTCATACCTACACGCTTACACTTACACGCTTACACTTACACGCTCAGACATATACACGCTTACACTTACACGCTCACAACTACACGCTGACATTTACACGCTTATACTTACACGCTTACACTTACACGCTTACACTTACACGCTTATACTTACACGCTCACACTTACACGCGTACACGCTTACACTTACACGCTCACACTTACACGCGCACACGCTTACACTTACACGCTGACACTTACACGCTTACACTTACACGCTGACATTTACACGCTCAGACATATGCACGCTTACACTTATACGCTCACACTTACAGGAACACACCTACACGCTCACGCCTACACGCTTACATCTACACGCACAAACTTACACTCTCACACATACACGCTTACACTTACACGCTCACACTTACACGAGTGCTGTATTACGACACATTTGACAGTAGTTTTTGCACCTTAAGGCGAGCTTTCTAGATTTTATATACACGTGTGCTAGGTTTAAGAACCAATGACTGAGCAAGTCCAGCTAAAATAAATACCTAGCATGCTGAGTAATGTAAAGCCGTGGTGCATTGAGGTGTGCTATTAGATTTGTTTTTGTGTTACATTTCACAGGAAGCCGCGTCTGCTACTGGTCAGCGTGTTTGATATCCAGTTAGTTTTGTCCTCATTGTGGAGGTAATATCTGTGGCTGTATGTTTAATGTGTGGTGGGGGTTGTGGTGGGGGTTGTGGTGGGGGTTGTGGTGGGGGTTGTGGTGGGGTTGTGGTGGGGGTTGTGGTTGTGGTGGGGGTTGTGGTGGGGGTTGTGGTGGGGGTTGTGGTTGTGGTGGGGGTTGTGGTGGGGGTTGTGGTTGTGGTGGGGGTTGTGGTGGGGGTTGTGGTTGTGGTGGGGGTTGTGGTGGGGGTTGTGGTGGGGATTGTGGTGGGGGTTGTGGTGAGGGTTGTGGTGGGGGTTGTGGTGGGGGTTGTGGTGGGGGTTGTGGTGAGGGTTGTGGTGAGGGTTGTGGTGGGGGTTGTGGTGAGGGTTGTGGTGGGGGTTGTGGTGGGGTTGTGGTGGGGCTTGTGGTGGGGGTTGTGGTGTGGGTTGTGGTGAGGCTGTTGTGAGGTTGTGGTGGTGATGGGTTATACCCAGTGTTTTTATATCGCGGTGTGTTTTTGTTCATACCGGGAACTTCATATAACAATACCAGAATCCCCACCACTATTATCATCTCCACGATCACCGCTATGTATCACCACCAAGTTTCCACTGTGTATCACCACTACGATCACCACTATGTATCGCCACTAAGATACCGCTATGTATCACCACCAAGTTTCCACTGTGTATCACCACTACGATCACCACTATGTATCACCACAATGATACATACAACATGCAATATACAACAAACAACAAACAACATACAAAATACAACATACAACAGACAACAAACAGACAATAAACAACATGTAACATTCAACAAACAACACATAGCATACACAATACAGCAAACAACGTACTACTAGCTACATACAACACCAACATCCTCTTTCACAAAGAACAATACAGAAAAATATAAAAACTCACAGTTGTAATCAATAAGATCATTTCACTTTTTTTTTTATAAAGAAGGTGAGTTTTTTTCTGAGCCGTCAAAAAAGAAACGAAAAAAAAAACCCAAAAAAAAAACCAAGATGTCTGAGAAACATCTCGGAATCAACGAGAAAAAAGGTGAGAGATCTAACCACATGTGGTAATTAAGTGGAGAGATCTGGACGGTTCTCAGTCGGTTTAAGAAACACGGGTGGCGGATGACGGGGACAATAAGGGCAGTTGGGGGGGGGGAGGTGTCTGTCAAAGAGCTGTCCTTTTGTCAGTGAACTGTCATGCTGTCATTGAACAGTTTGCTTGCAGCTTTCATATATTTTTGTTTTCTCTATTTAGGATGACGGGACGCATCTTGAGATTGTCTGGAAATCAAATAACTAGTGTAGATTCATTCGTTGAGCTCTCTCTTGTGTGAGAAAATAGGTTAGGGTTAGGTTATATGTTAGAGGGAATGTTAGGGTTAGGTCTAGAAAGTACATTTTGTATCAAGGCTAGGGGCTGTGACTACTAACGTGAATCTAGTTTACGGTTATGTTTCTGAATAAGGTATCGATATTAGAGTAACATATTTCCATGGTTTAAGAAATTCACCTTTACCTAGGATCTTTCTTCTTCTTCTTCTTCGTTCTTAATTATTAGTGTTGAAGGGGATCGAGATTTATCTGCCAGTGGGTTTGAACTCGAGACTTTGTTCGAATTTATCAACCATGAGCTTTTTGCCGACTCGACCACGCCTTCAACACAATTAAGCGTTACGTGTCAACTGGTTATGCGCCATTGAGGCCATTGACTCCGATTTCAGCCTGCTTTTCTTTTTGGATTTGCTTCCATAGCCTTTGTCCAACCATGCTTCCATAGCCTTTGTCCAACTATGTGTTGTTTGTTGAATGTTACATGTTGTTTATTGTCTGTTTGTTGTCTGTTGTATGTTGTATTTTGTATGTTGTTTGTTGTTTGTTGTATATTGCATGTTGTTTGTTGTATATTGTTTGTTGTATGTTTGTTGTTTTATTTTTGTTGTATGTTGTTTTTCTTATGTTTGGTGTATATTGCATGTTGTTTGTTGTATATTGTTTGTTGTATGTTTGTTGTATGTTGTTTTTTGTCAGCATACTGCTGACCACATTATCCCTTTCTATGCCGAGCTCAAGTTTATTCTTACTTGTTACAAATATACACATTCTCAATTGAAATTAAGACGTTGAGAACAATATTGCACAATGTAAATATGACGTTAGTGTGACAAAAGTCAGTTAAAAATTATCCCCCCCCCCTAATCTCTTTAATGTAGTCTCCCTGTATTGAAGCAGTAAGAAAAAAAATGAAATGACAGTTTCCACAGTAGAGTCACAGTTGCCACTGTAGAGTCAGTTTCCACTGTAGAGTCACAGTTTCCACTGTAGAGTCACAGTTTCCACTGTAGAGTCACAGTTTCCACTGTAGAGTCACAGTTTCTTGTAAAATTGTTCACCTATCATCGATTTTTCTCTCGTTTACTCTTTCTTCCAGTACTCAATGTGTGTTTCAGGAAGTATTTCAGGTGATGGGGAGGGGTGAGCTAGGAGGCTAGAGTTCGAGGGGGGGGGGGGGTGGGTAGGGTGTGGGTGGGGGGCGTGAGTGGGTGTCTCTACACGTATCTTCCCGATAGTGGAATAGATAGAGAAACAAAAACTAAAAGATACGGTAAGAAATGGCTTTAGACTAGAACAACTAACTGATTAAGTCTGACTATACACAGACGGGTAATTATGTCATGTTAAATAATTAGGGGAGGGGGAGTGATCCAAGAGAGGGGAGGGGGAGGTGGTACAGTGATCCTAGAGTGGGGAGGGGGAGGGTGTTACAGTGATCCAAGAGTGGGGAGGTGGAGGGTGTTACAGTGATCCAAGAGTGGGGAGGGGGAGGGTGTTACAGTGATCCAAGAGTGGGGAGGTGGAGGGTGTTACAGTGATCCAAGAGTGGGAAGGGGGAGGGTGTTACAGTAATCCAAGAGTAGGGAGGTGGAGGGTGTTACAGTAATCCAAGAGTGGGGAGGGGGAGGGTGTTACAGTGATTGAATATCAAACGTATTACTTTAAAATTCAACATAACCAAAAATCTAGAAAAGCCAATATTTCAAACCTTCCCTGTTTTTGGACAAAACGCAGCTATTAAGATTTTGTTTTTTTACATTACAGAACGGCTGTTATCAACTCATGAAATCTCCAACCAAACTTTAACTTACACCAACCCTAACTCTAACACTAGCTTGACACTTGCATCAAACATGACACTAAAAAACGGGCCCATGTATCGCCGTCTGGTACCCCATAACGGAAAAGCTCCATCGATCTTCAAAAACACGGCTTCAAAGACATTAAAAGACATGATCCAGCTCTAGAGAGTGACAAGGTTTACATCTGAGGAAACAAACCTTGGTCCACTTACCGAAAACGAACAAAAAGTGCACATTTGCAGCAGATATTAGCTCTTTATAACCTGTTAAATTGTTTTTATTTTTGGCTTTAAAAAATGCGGAGTGTTAAGAAAAATATATTTGTTAATCAGAAAGTTTATAACACTGTTGTTGTTTTTTTTTAGATCGCGCAGTTATTTTTTTTTCTAAACAGATTTTCAAAGTAGCGGTTGTAACTTGAATTGATAAAGTAGGGCTAATAATATCTTCAAATATAGGTAAAAAAAAAAAAACTACACATGAACATATTTAAAAAAAATTAAACAACGCAATAATTATTATTTTATTCTATCATCATCTTTCCCGTTGTGGCCAAAGACACTCGATGAAACAGAGTTGATCTGTTGCAGCGACCACTGCCATATAAAGGGAGATTGTGTGGTCAGCAAAATACCCAGCCGACTTTGTTTCCTTAACGTGAGTCAAGTAACCCCCCCCCCCCCCCCCCCTCAGGGTTAAGAATACTCAAGGACAGCATAACATTGTTTAAACATTAGTCGTACAATCGTTTATAAAGTTAAATTTTGGTGTAAATAAACTTTAGACAATGCTAGTTTTTTTTTAAAAATCTCTAAAACACCAATAAACACCACAGGGGAGAGTATGTAAAACACCAACAAACACAAACCCACAGGGGAGGGAATGTAGATGACACCACGAAGATGAGCCGCGTTTACCTCCCTTCCTTTGTGATCTATTTCACTAGGCCAATGACGTCACGCTTTGATCTGGCTATCAGCGGAATTAAAGTATCGGGCGATAATTTACGTCACAGCGTCGCCGCCTGTGTCACACGTTATATAACATTTACTGGGGATTCGGTGGCGTTACACAAGGGGGTGCTAAAAGAAGGGGGGTGCATATTTTACTTTGAACAATTTTACTTTGTTAGCAGTCGGATCCGACTAGTACGCCAGTATGTTATTTACATAGCAATTTAGTTATACATATATACATGTATATATATATATACATGTATATATATATATATATATATATATATATATATATATATATATATATATATATCGCCTAACAGAAATATCCCAACACATTCTACTATTTCTGCTACCAAATGAAGGTCGCCCCACCCTCACCACCCTCCCCACCCACCCACCGTCTAAATGAATCAGACACGCCACAAAAGATGGCCCCTCACGACTCCACTCATTCAACGTCTGACCGCTGGTCAGTCCCCTCCAGGCCGTGGTTGTCAATCATATCACGTGACACGACATCCCCCCCCCCCGACATTTAATAAGTAACGGTCAAGCCGCATCATCGCTGACCATTCCCCGGCCCTCACGCACTGCCTGACGGAATAAGTAGGGCGCCATTTAGATGATCAAATCGTCTCCTGTCAAGAAAACACGACCGTCTTGATTTGGACGTCGGTCAAGTATATTCCTTACTAGACTCGGTGATACAAATTGTTTTATTTTGTTGAATCATATCAAGGTGTATACGAACCCATGTGTTTAGCAAAACTACCCCCAATGTCTGTTAACTATGAGAAAAAAATGTTTTTTGTTTAAGAAAAGGAAGATCGTGTAAATATTCTAATTAGCTGATGACGTGTGGTTTGATTTAAAAATGGAGTTAATGGTATATATAAGCTGTCCTCACAACAGAAAGACACACATCGTTGCAAATAAGGCACAAAGCAAATTCTCTCTACCAGTTTTATTTATTTATTTTTTTATTTTTGGGAAGGGGGGGGGGGGGGGTGGGGTGGGGGGAGGGAGATTAAAAAACAAGTAGCCTCCCCCTATATAATATGAAAAATAAATAAAATAAAACGAGTAGAGAGAATGTAATGGTGAAATTAAAGAAATGTATGCAAGAATTTTCTGTTTGGGGTTGTGAAGGATCAAAAATTGTATTTCTAATTTATTTTTAAGGACCACAAATCTTAATGAAACTGTCAACACCGTGATGCAATGCTTAGACCGCAATCTCGACTGCATAATCTTGAATAAGCTTCCAACTATGATTGCTTTGTCATCGTATTGTTAGTTTTTAATTAAAAGAAAAAAAAAGAAATCAGCCTGGATATGGACACTTTTGATTCATTATGTTAACACATTTTTTAAACATTAAATTTCGGTTTTTTAAAATTTATCTTTTTTTACAAGATTGCAGAATTCCAGTGTTTGTTTTAGGTTGATTGTTAGGGAGTTGTTGTTCTTGATTGTGTAGTAGTTGTTAAATTTGTGAGCCTTCGGTTATTAGGCTAGTTATTGCTCTTGTATTAAGGATCTTGAGTTAATGTAAAAGGTTCAGCAGAGTTTCCATAATGTTTGTGTAAGAACTCGACAACCAGACCCTAGATTCTAGCCCAGACATCCAGACTTAAACACAGACATCCAGACTTAACACACAGACATCCAGACTTAACACACAGACATCCAGACTTTAACGCAGACATCAAGACTTAACACACAGACATCCAGACTTAAACACAGACATCCGGACAGAACCCAGACGGCCAAGACTTCCAACCCAGACGGCCAAGACTTCCAACCCAGACGGCCAAGACTTCCAACCCAGACGGCCAAGACTTCCAACCCAGACGGCCAAGACTTCCAACCCAGACGGCCAAGACTCAACCCAAGAACCCAGACGGCCAAGACTTCCAACCCAGACGGCCAAGACTTGGTATCCAGACGGTCAAGACTTGGAACACAAGAACCCAGACGGTCAAGACTCGGAACCCAGACGGTCAAGACTCGGAACCCAGACGGCCAAGACTCGGAACCCAGACGGCCAAGACTCAGAACCCAGACGGCCAAGACTTGGAACCCAGACGGTCAAGACTCGGAACCCAGACGGTCAAGACTCGGAACCCAGACGGTCAAGACTCGGAACCCAGACGGTCAAGACTCGGAACCTAAGAACCCAGACGGCCAAGACTCGGAACCTAAGAACCCAGACGGTCAAGACTTGGAACCCAGACGGCCAAGACTCAACGCAGACGGCCAAGACTCAACCCAGACGGCCAAGACTCAACCCAAGAACCCAGACGGCCAAGACTTGGAACCCAGACGGCCAAGACTTGGAACCCAGACGGCCAAGACTTCCAACCCAGACGGCCAAGACTTGGAACACAAGAACCCAGACGGCCAAGACTTGGAACCCAGACGGCCAAGACTCAACCCAGACGGCCAAGACTCAACCTAGACGGCCAAGACTCAACCCAGACGGCCAAGACTCAACCCAAGAACCCAGACGGCCAAGACTTGAAACCCAGACGGCCAAGACTTGAACCTAGACAATATGCTAGCGATTCCTATCAAGACGCCCTCTACCCTAAGCGACTTAGCCCTCTCACGCCCATTATCCTGCCCTTTGAATACATTTCCGTGTTACCTGTTTACAACACCCGCCAACAATGACAACATTTCGTGAGGTCATCGACCTAAAGTTCATTAGCATGTGTTATTATTGTGACGGGCTTAACGCATTGTCCATTTTTTTTTAACACCGAGCCAAACCATGTTCAATCTTCAGAAGCTGTTGCAAAAAAAAAATTAAATTAGGAATGCAATTAAAGCAGGACGTTTTTAGAATTGATTATGTTCGGGGAAATGACATTAGGGACAGTAGGAGATGAGTTGTAAGCTGATTTTAGTGTGTTGCTCCATATACCTCCCAGCGACATGTACAGTCCGTATCATACACCAGACAATGTTTCAAACACTCATAATCATGTGCTGGTCTTATACTACAAAACACCGTCTTTCCCCAACATCAAATACTACCATAAACACAATTAAAATCCGGAATTATCTGTTCAAACTACAACCACCACCATCCACCCCACACTATCTTATTACACCAACAAAAAAACAAAAACAACAACACACGCTTCATTAAATACAAGCCATCTTTAAACGCTACAATCACACAACGCCATCAAAAACTAGAATAATCAAACACAACAAATACACCAAAATACCATAGCATATCATCACACAACACACGCCATCATACACCCTGCATTAATCTCCAGAACACACAAAACACTAACATACACCAAATAACAACACACGCTTAACGTTATTAACATCACACCTCTATCCCACACATTACACCTTACACACCTGTACACAACCTGACACCACACACACCACAACCTGACACCACACACACCACAACCTGACACCACACACACCACAACCTGGCGCCACACATACACACACCACAACCTGACACCACACACACCACAACCTGGCGCCACACACACCACAACCTGACGCCACACGCACACATCTAACCTGACTCCACACACACATACTACATCCTGACGCCACCAACTTGATGTATCAGCAGTTCCACCCTCACCGGAAACTATAACCCAAGCTCCCTTCACAGGATATGAAAAGATTTGAAAATCCAAAAGAATTAATTGAAATTTGACGATTTTTCTTCTAGTGCATGCCTTGTTCTTGATTGTCAACGCCAGTCTTGCGTAATTAAATAAGAAACCCATTCCTTTTACCGGCGTGTTGCTCAGAAAAAGACATTTTCAATTACTTCCCCTGCTCTATTTTTATCTTCGTGAAAAGCACGTTCGCTCGTTGGATTTCAAAATGAAAAATGATTTTTAAAAAAAATGATTTAATTTTTTTAACACTGTTAATAACACGGAAGAAACACAAGAGAACAAGAGACGGTCATACCTCATCTCGCGAGATCTCGATACACACAAGGACACAACAAGAGACGGCCATATATCATCTCGCGAGATCTCGATACACAAGGACACAACAAGAGACGGTCATGTCTCATCTCGCGAGATCTCGAATCACAAGGACACAACAAGAGACGGTCATGTCTCATCTCGCGAGATCTCGATACACAAGGACACAACAAGAGACGGCCATATATCATCTCGCGAGATCTCGAATCACAAGGACACAACAAGAGACGGCCATATATCATCTCGCGAGATCTCGATACACAAGGACACAACAAGAGACGGCAATATATCATCTCGCGAGATCTCGATACACAAGGACACAACAAGAGACGGCAATATATCATCTCGCGAGATCTCGATACACAAGGACACATTAAAACAAGAGACGGTCATGTCTCATCTCGCGAGATCTCGAATCACAAGGACACAACAAGAGACGGCAATATATCATCTCGCGAGATCTCGATACACACAAGGACACAACAAGAGACGGCCATATATCATCTCGCGAGATCTCGATACACAAGGACACAACAAGAGACGGCCATATCTCATCTCGCGAGATCTCGATACACACAGGGTCACATTTGTCAGTTCTGTGGGACATGACATTGTTTTATATATTGGACACCTGAGTTGCCTTGTGCTAGAATATTGTAACGGTCTAAAGGTAAAACTATAACAGTGAAACATTGTTGGATCGTATCTTGGGAGTGTGTGTGTGTGAGATTGCATCAGAAAGACAGTGGTTGTGCATATGCGCGAGAAGAGGAAGAGAGAGGAAGGCAAGAACATGGCGTAGCTTGGCTGAACACGCTGTCTATGTGAAGACAAAATAAATATGAAAATTTGTAAAAGAAGGCTTGTCTTGTGATTTCGTATGTGATAGATAAAAGGTAGGAGAAAGGCCTGTGGCAAATTTACAGCGTAAACCCAGTCACATAAAAAGGTTGTGACATTTTGGTGTCAGAAGTGGTCGGTGCTCTACACCGTACAAGAAAGAATTAAATCTAGATTTAGTAGTGTAACTGAAGAACTGTGCTTGCATCATTACGATGGATTTCGAGCTCTATGCCAAATGTATTAAGGTAGCTGATTTGTTAGGATACACTGGGGCAGAGAAGGCAAATTGGGTAGAAAAGAAGATAGCTGATGAAAAGGCTAGAGTTAAAAGAAGAATGGAGCGTGAGAAGGAAGTAGCTGATGTGAAGGCTGAGTTGGAAAAATGTAAAATGGAGGCCGAAGATAGAGAAAAACAGAGACAATTAGAAGATAGAGACAAACATAGATATTTAAGAACTGTTGAAAGAAGAGATTTAGTTTTTGTCAAACTGCCAGACAGAGAAAACATAGAAGCATTTCAAGGACCTTTTGAAGTAATCAAGAAACTATCTGATGTAAATGATGAAATAAACATAAAGGGAAATAACACTCCTATACACATGGACAGAATGAAGAAATTATATGTAGAGCCAGAGAAACTGATAGAAGATGAACATATGGCCTGTACTATAATAAGTAAAAGCTGTAATACACAAGAAATTAAGACTTATCATATCCCAGTGAAGGAGAAAAACATAATGGACAAAATAATAAATGAGTACAATGATATGATTACAACAGAAATGGGTTTTACTGAAACAATTCAACACAAAATAGAATTGACTGATTATAGTGCTATGAAAGGGAAACATTACCAAGTACCAGTTGCTTATAGAGAAGCTGTTGAAGCAGAACTGGATTTTCTACTTAAGTCTGGGCAAATAGAAAGAACAGAATCAGCATACTCATCACCCATGGTAATAGTAAGAAAAAAGAACAACAAAGTAAGGATATGTTGTGACTATCGAGAGTTGAATAAAAGGACTAAGATAGATGCTGAACCCATGAATTATCCTAAAGACATTTTGGAAACTATTAGTAATTCCTCAATTTTCACCACTTGTGATTTGAACAGAGGCTTCTGGCAAATAGGACTGGAAAAGGAGTCAAGACAATACACCGTCTTTACATCTAGCAAAGGTCTATGTCAATGGAAGGTGATGCCATTCCAAAAATTCATGAATAAAATGACAGAGGGAATGAAACACCTGGTCTTCTTTGTGGATGATATATGCATACATAATAACACATGGGCAGAACACATAGAAACACTAACAGAACTACTGGAAAGACTTAGAAAACATGGGATTACCATAGCACCACAGAAACTGCATGTGGGAGTACATACAGTAGAATTCCTAGAATTCAAGGTTGAAAATAAAGAAATTAGACCTACTGAAGGAAATAAGGACAAAATATTAAATATCAAAACTCCTAGTACAAAGAAAGAAGTGAAATCATTGTTTGGACTATGCAATTTTTATAATATTTTGTGGATAAATATGCTGAACTTACTACTCCTTTAAGATTTTACTTTCAAGCTTTAATATATAACATCAGTTATCATGCATATAGAACCTGATTTTTAACCACTTTAGTGTTTCACCAACCTCAACAGTTAAAAAAAAAATGTATTTCATTGATTGGCTCTACACATTCCTTTTTAGCTAACAAAATTTTATGTTGTGTGCATTGGTACTTAAGCATCAGTGATATAAAGTATGGCTACCACTACTGAGGACTACTAACATACATTATTTTACATGTTATTGACTTTAGAAAAATTTATAAGTTAGAAAACCATTTAAATTAAACCATGGAGTTTGTTATCATAATGTGTAGACAAATGTTTCGTTTGCTATTAGACCTTGTATTTTGCTAACTGATGTTGATGAACAGAACAGTTGTGTATTTCTTTTACACCTTATATGGTAATACTCATGGATCCTATTGTTGTTTAAAGCTGTATTCAATTAACAGAGCTTAACTATGTGTTTGGAATCTTGACTTGGTAAATATTGCTTTCATAAGGAAAATGGATTTGTCTAAGAACATTATGTCAAGAAAAGCTAAGCTGTAAAGGGACTGCACAATACACTAGCTGAATTTTTTATCAAGACAGATTGAAGATGAAAAAACAAACATGGAACTGACTAAAGAAAATAATGACCTGAGACATATCAGCCAATTCTTATAAGGAAATTTTGAATAATGTAGTATGTGATGTGTACTTCCAGAGAACATTAACATTTTAAAAATGTGAGCAAGATAGGAATAGGTCATAAAATGACTTGTATAAATATGTTTTTACCACTATTTTAATTTAGTAATGAAAATGAACATACATTTTATTGTATTCTGTGACTTGTATGTATACTGTATATCTTGTTAAGTAATGAACATGATTATGGCAGTATGACATGACAGATGTGGTAATTTACATATGTTATGATGAGGAGTTTACCTCAACCAGTGAAGTAGGGAAATCAAGGATATGATTTGCCCATGGGAACTATTACATAGCTATAATTTTGTTCTAATAGGAGAAAGTTTTCCTCAGTTAGATTTATTGTGAGATACACTAAGAGGCAATATTCCTTAGTGAGGTTTAATGATTTCTTTTGTTTGTTACACTAAGAGGAGATGTTCCTTAGTTAGAGTCATTTGTTCTTACTAAACTA